TAGATCCTGGCTGCACAGGAGTTGCAGTGGTGGGAAAGAGAGGTGGGAATAGTCCCGTATGTAGGTAATTACAAGCTCATTTTTACTTGCTTTATACAAGGAATGTTCCTTGTATAATAGAAAGTCGATATTATTTTGGTAATTAGTCATAGTCATACGAGTAAATAGTAATAGGTTTTGTACAATGCCAAATCTTATACTTATTTGTTTGTATAGTCGTTTTTTTGTGCATTTTCGCCATCTTAACGCCATATTCTACCAAATCGCTGTCAATCCAAGTCCAGCCCAGTCTCCATAACTCGTGGAAGACACACCCTTGCCGGTGTGGGTCAATGCCGGCTTCCTGCGGCCAGAAATAGCGCTGTGTTCTCCCACGGGTGCGCGCGCGCAGCTATTATGGCTAGGGCTGCCACAAAAGGCCTTACCTTTTAACTGGTATTGAAACGTGGCCACTGTATGCCAAATGAAGAGATCCATGAACGAACTAATGTCGTTGATTTAGCCCGACGAATAAGAAAGTTGAAGTGACAATGTGCAGGGCATATAGCACACAGAACTAGCGGCCAATGGGCAGCAAGGTTCTGGAATGGAGGGTAGCCTCCATCCTCCTCTAGTGCAACGAGGACATCCATCTGCATAGTTATAAAGGCTAGGGGAAGGTGCTGGAAGCAATTTGCTTTCAACTAGCTTCTGTCTGAAAATCAATGCAGGAGGCATGTTCAGCAACTGGGGTCTGAACGGTGCTCTTGGCCTGCATCTCACCTGGTGGGGTTCATTTACCACAGAGGAACTGCCTATTTTTTCCCCCAACTGCACAAACGCAACCGTGCTGTATTATTGTTAGTATGGGGACAGGCTTAAGTTTATTTATGTATATGTTACGGTTAATGTGATAAATTGAAAATTATTAATAATAACCGGTTATTATGAATAATTCCCGACAGTCACGGTGAAAGTGATAAATTAATCACATTTAACAGTGATTATTTAATAATTCAACCTTAGTACTAACAAATTTCATAAAAGAGAACAACATCTTGTGTACGTGTTCGTGAACTGCCAAACTTTTGAACGTTTTGATATCATATATTAATATAATTTGGCATAATGAATTTGGAATGTTTCTTGTATTTAGTTTTATACACACATAAATGACCTCATATTAATCACATTTACCAAATCATGCGGTAATTATTCATAATAACCGGCGATTATTCATAATTTTCACATTTATCACTTTGACCGTAACATATAAAAATCCTACAAAATTTTTCTTTTACTTACCTACTTGCAAGTAAGTGGATTACCTAGGGCTCTTCTTAAAGGATTTTTTGTAGGTTTAACTAGTTATCAAATGTAAAAAAAGAAACTGGCACTAAAGTCTAAATTTAGAGTTTTGGATTCTATTAACCTACAAACACCATAAGATAAAGTTTCAAAACAACATTTCATTTGTAACCCATGATATTAAGGATGAAAGATAAAACGCTTCGACAAAGTAACATTTGTTAACCGAAATAAATGTAATCCTTTGTAACACCCAGTAACGTGAGTCAGTGTAAAGTTATACTTATTTCTCTTATTGTGAGTAGAACAACGACCCCAGAGTATTAATAGTGTTTTAGTCACCTCGTTGCACAACAAAACTAACCCATTCATTTGAATTAAACTAAATATAAACTTATCCATTTGTCGAAGATCCCACTTTTGATCCATCATTTTCGAGGGAAATCTAGCAGACGACTGAGGGCCATACGTGGGGCGTATGTGAGGAGGAAGCGGCGAACGTATGCGAACGAATGCGAATTGATGATCGGGAATTTTTACTCCTTCAATAACTCTTCAATAGTATAGTGTTTTTTAAGTAAAAAGATGGACTGTTTTGGCCCTAGGATAATATTTTCATGCAGGACATGCGACATTTAAAATATCCTACTAATATTATAAAATGCGAAAGTTTGGATGTCTGGATGCTTGTTACTCTTTCACGCAAAAACTAAACGGATTTTGTTTTTACAGTATTATTATTAACCCATATTAACATATAGGGTAGGCTATAATGTATGCCGATCTGTGACACTAAATTTCACGCGAGTGAAGCCGCGGGCAAAAGCTAGTTTTTTCCATAATTGGCAAAAATGACAGTAGGGAATTTAGTGCAAGAACCCCTCCACTTTGGTATAGAAGGCTCATTTTTGCAACAGTGGTTCTTTGGGTGCTCCTGAGTGGATTTCCGTCGGTAGACATCGGGAGCCCCCCCTGTGATAGCAGGGGGAGGGGGGGCAAGATTCCTTCCGCCGCGCTTCACTTTAAGGCCCATATCTTCAAAACTATGGGTATTAGGGCAAGTGTGGTATCATTTTCGGATAATTGAAGGATGGCGAATTCATTTCTAGAACAAACTTTTTGCCTTTTCATAAAAAAAATAGAAATATTGAGTAAAATTCACAAAAACCAAAAAGTATTTTTTTAAATAAACGTCGTTTACTTTTAAACCACTGGAGATAATCTAATTAAAAAAATATGACCTGAAAGCTACATTTATCAGGATTATAAAAATATAACATTGTATGGTACTTTTTTCGCAAAAAGTAGGTGAAAAAAATTTTTTCTTCAGGACACAGCGGGCGAATTTTATTGCGCATCGGAAAAAAATTTTTATTTTATCCATGAATTCATACTATTTGGTTCATAAGCAAGCAAGGATTATTATTTTAGAATTTATTTAGAGTTGCTGGCACATTAATCTACCATGATTTGTATTTTTTCGTCAATTGATTTTGAACTCTATGTGTAAGACATAAGGTTGAAAATAGTTTAAATACATTTTAATATTGAAAATATTATAAGAAGAAAGCACTAAATAAAGAACTTTAATTTGTGTAAACGTCTTAATGATTATTATTATTTTAATTAACACTTATTTCAACATACTTACTATCTTACCAGTGATTTAACGGAAAGGTAAGTGTGAGGAAAATGAGGTTTCACAATCATAGTACGGGAGATATTTTTAGCACAAAGGTTACGGTTGTGACCTTTTTAGTGTTTTTTTTCAGACAGCACCAGCTACTGCACTACTTCTTGCACCTACATCTCACCATTTCCAGGCAAGCCTCGGCAGCTACGGGCAAACCGGTCCATGTAGGCTCCATCTTGCTATCGGCTCTGGTCCACCCCTAACCAGTCGGGTAAAGGGAAGACTGAGTCGGTTGCTTGCAACTAATCCTATACGCGAACCCCTTGGATTGATCTAATAAGTAAGTGGATAGGTCTTGAACAAGAGACGACTAGAAAAGAGCATCTGCATAGCAAGTCTGCGGTCTATGTCATTGTCTTTCAATCTTGGAATCGGTAGGTAACCCCAAAGTTGTGGGGGTTACCAGGGGGTGCCTTAGGACTTACGCCGCCACTGCAAAGATGGCCTTGGGAACGGGAACGGGCGTCTACTGTAAACACTTCGAACATAGTGAACGCTTAAGGAGGTTTGCTACAGTGTTTCAAGCTGAATTCTACGCTATAATATGTGTGCACTAAAGAACAGGGGTGTAAAAAACGCAATATTTACATCCTGATCCACAGCACTCAAAGAAAAAGCCATCGCCTCAGTGAAGGTTGAGTCTAGAATTATTCTAGATGCAATCTTAAAGATGAACAAACTCGGAAGGCATGAAAGTGTCCCTGATGTGGGATACCTGGACATACACGGATCAAATTCAATGGGAGAGCCGACAGTCTAGCGAAACTAGGGTCAGAGGCAATACCTATTGGGTNGGACTGAACAGTTATTGCAGTCGTAAATTGCGGAATATCGCGAGTTTGTCTTACGAATGTTGCTTGTTAACGCTGATCTCTCGTACAAAACAGTCAATTACAACTATTTCAATCGCGAGCGAGCAGGAACTTTCATTAAAGAGATCCGAACATCTATAATCGAGTAGTAATTACAAGCAATAACTCGCCGAGTTAGTGGTTAAATAAACAAACGTTAATATGTAACGAATTTTTGCGCTTTTTGTTTGGATGGGAGATTATTTTGCAGTTAAGTCAGCAATGTATTTTTAATAGTTCTTTTTATGAACGGCTTAATTCAAAACCTACTTTACTTTCGTCGTTATGTAAACTGATTATATTAAGTTTTATATGAGTTAATTCTAACAATTAACAAATAAATAAAATTGAATTGATTAATTTTATGATTAAATTGAAATAAAAAAGTTATAATAATAAAAAATTATTCGATAATGGTACGTTACTACAATCCGTTCCCGTTTGTTTTTTTGCTTATTTCTAATTAAATTAAACTCCGGTTAAAATAAAACTCGTTAATTCTACGACACAGTAAAGGTTAGTTAAGATGGTCCATGGATACCATGGACGCCGTAAAAGGCGACTAAGGGAAATAGGAAAATAAGCTAATAATAAACTAAGGAAAATAAGCTAATACATAATCAAGCCTACCCCACCCATCTGGCGTGGTGAATGTAGGTCAAATCCTCAATATCAGTTCTGTTCCTGCAGCGGAGACCAAATGACCTGATCATGATGATGATGAAGTCTAAAGGCTGATTTACACGTGTTAAGTAGATAAGTAGGTAACTAAATTTTTACTTGATTTTTCTGCCATGTTGGTGGGCGGGACTTGTCACTTGACAAAATCAAAATCAAAATTATTTATTCAGTTTAGACCACAAGTGGCACTTATGAACGTCAAAATGTAAATAATAAAAAAAGAAAAGGTAGCCCTTATGGGGCATTTTACATGTCTCCTTATCTTTTAGGCCCTACCAGCGCTTCGAGACAAACATAACAGACTTCGAGACACGTTTTGACAAGCAGTTTCATAGTAAACAAGAGCTTGACGTTTGGAATTAAGTTAAAATTTAGTTACCTACTTAACTTATTAATACGTGTAAACTGTAAACCAGCCAAAAGGTAAAAGGAGCTAAGATCAAAGGTAAATAAAATATAAATATGATGGTGTTCAACGTTACACTCACGTCAGCGAAGTTCAGTCTGTTCGCGTTCTTCCTAAACTCGGTCATGGCGTATCGCTCCTTCATCTTGCGCACGCGCTTCCCGCCTCGCTTCTTGCGGCTTTGCTCGATTGGCTTCGGTAGGGGCTTGACGAATTTTACTGGCGGAGGCTCCTGTGAGGATAAGGAATTTTAGAATTAAGAGTTCGTAAGATGTCTTGATGAATTGACGGCCGATGTCAATGAGCCTCTGATGAGTCATTAACCCAACATTGGTTCTATGATCATTGTGAATCGCAAAAGAAATGTTATTGGAAGTGATTATTTTTCTAAAAAAATTGGTGGAACTTGAACCAACCTTTCACTTGCCTGCTAACTGCTGAGTATCCTGGCTTATGTACTCTAGATAGCATAAAATTCACTTATTTCGATAGCTTAAATGTCTCTCAACTCAATAACTATCACGACATGCGAACACGCACACCAATGTAGGTATGGGCGACGCATGGCGAAACTGCAATGCGCGTTTACTTGCGTCTTAACTAATAATAACAATGACAAATGACCTGCAACTTGTCCAGTTTCTTCTCAATGCCCTCTCGCAGTTGCCGGCCGATGCGTCCGTCCGTCGAGTCGTGGCACGCGTCCACCCGAGCAGCGAGAGTCAACTTGGTGGACACCAGCTTGGCGGCTTTGTAACGCAGTTCCTAAAACAGTTTGGGAGTTATTTGGTGCCTTTACATTGTGTGCGATTATGCACGCACGTAATTTATACATCATGCATGTCACAGCATCAATAGACAATGGTGACTAAGTTTCTTCAGACACTTCTTTATCACCAGCCGATATTTAGACTTGAAATAGTGGTAGGCGGGCGCCCGCGCCTGTTTTGGCGGAGGTCCTTAGAATTCTCAACTTAAAACTTTTTTTAATTGATAATTATGTTGTCTAAAACACAGAATTTTATTTATTCATGGATACTATTTCATGCAGGGTGCATAAGTTCTTCATGATACTTACTGGTGGAGTGTCCTGTACAATTTGTGAAAAGTAAATGAAGCCAGTGTGAGGCAGGGAAGCCGCTTGTGAGAACCCAGACAGTGTCTTCTTCTGCTGGCCAAGAGGCAACACATTGCATGCTGGCATTTTGGACAGCTTTGAAAGTCCACCAGCCACACCAAGGATTTTTGCAGCAGTTGAAGCCCCTGTTATAAAGGAAAAAAAAAATGAAGTTTAGATAAATTAGTTTTAGTAAGTTACATTTCTTAACCAAGCAGTGTGATACAGTGACTTTTTTTATGCTTTAATTTTTCACAGATTTTTGAGTGTATAGAGTCAAATTGAGAAAATGTACAATCATTTTGTTAATTTTTGAATAAAGGTCATTATGCTTACTTTATACAATATTTTTCTCAATATCAACAAAAATACTTACCAACAATAGCAGTTATATTTGGTGCAATAAATGTCATTCTGCTTTCAACATATTCATAGATTTTCGACTTGAAATGATTCAGCTCTGCTGCCATGTCACATGCCTCATATATTTCAGCTAATTCATGTTCTGTTAACAGTTTTCTGAAACAAAATTAAATAACAAACTATTTTTTCTCATGTGTACAAAGAGGGTTAATTGGAAGGGCTAAAGAAACTAATGCCGAAATGTCATATTAGTTTAGTTCTTCACCCAGACAAATATTTTGTATCTAATTTGGAAATAGAGGTTACTTACCCTTGAGTTGTTGATGCAGTAACTGACACAATCATAATAGTAGCTTGTGTCAAGAAGCTCTGTAATATCTCATTGTTTTTAGCCTTGTCCAAGTCGTTGCCAAGTTCTTTCACAGTACGGATGTACTCAAGTGGGGTGATGATAAGGGAATCAAGCTCTGGGAATCTCTTCTGATATTTGTCTCGAACGAATCTGTGGATAATAGCTGGAAAGTGATAATTAAAGTATATGTTTACAACTTACCTATCTGCTTGAATCTCAAACTCATAGAATAAACTTCTATAAACTATTAGGAAAACTACTAAAACATATTAGATCCCTTTCAACCAGTGACTAAAGTGATATTATGTGATAAGGAATTTAAGCTATGATCTGAAGCTTCCATGTTGTGGTCCATTATTTTAAGTTTATTACTTCAAATTTTTATACAGAGGGGTATCTCAGCTGGTTCTATATTGGCTCACATAAAATTCTAAATCCTATTCTTTGTCTTACTACCGATTTGTGTTCATAATAATCTCTCTTCATAATTTTATTTTTCATACTTTTTTTATTCATACATTTTTATTACTACCATCGGAGCTCATAACAGTTAGTAATCATAATTTTTTTATCAATACTGTTACTACCAAGAACCATTTAAAATACATAATTTTTATTTTCAGATCTTTTTTCTTCATAACATTCATTGATCATATTGTTTTAATTAATAATGTTGTTACTAAGAACATACTTCAACTCATAATGTTGTTGTTCAGAATAATTTACTTTATAACAGACATACTCGTATCTTTAAAAAAATCATATATAATTTAATAGAGTAGATAAGCATGCAGAGCATGCAGCATGAAAGCAAGCATGCAGCATGCATTGGTATCTCCTCGTCTCCGGCGCTGCGGGATGTGCAGCCCTTCCGCCCTTGCGTAACGAGGCTCAGGCACCCACGCTTGCTTCCGCAGCTTCGGCTTTTTGGATCGCCATCGGCGCCTTCGGCGCCTCGGCGACCAGCCTCAGCCGCTCCAGCTCACCCGGGCGCCTGAGCCTCGTTACAGCGGGCGAGGGCTGCCCTCCCTCCGCGCCTCCGGCTTTTAAATTACACTCTAGGGGTAGGGCAGACAAGACTACGTGGAGTCGGTTTTGCAGCGATTCGTTTCTGTCACGTTAGTTTTGTGGCACAAAATATTATTGCCTGTTGCCACAAAATATTTTGAAATGGTCCAACCATTTCAAAATAATTTAATGTTAAAATACGATTTAATACGAATATAGACATCATGATTTTCAATAATATGGATAAATACACTTATGAGTAATAAATTTATGAAAACAAATATTAGGATACATCACATTTATGAATGTTTTAGTTATTTATTCGAATGATTATGAGTTTCGATCATTAGTATAGAAAAATATATGAAAACAAATATTAGTAAAAACAAAGTGTATGATTAATGATATTATGAATATCAATGATTATGTTTTTAAATATGTAGGTTTTAAATTTTTTATGAAGAATGATCATTATGGTATTAAATTGTATGAGAAATATTTTCGGACCTCCAATGATAGGAATTGAAAAGTTATGTAAGAAAATGCGCTACCATCTCAGCTATATTTTTGACAACAATAGTTCGTAGTCTATAAGTCAATTGAGATAAGTGTTATCTTCTGCATTATTAAAACAGCCCTAACACTTATTACTTTAAAACCAGAGTTCATTTACTGAAAACAAGATCAGAAACTTACCAATTTCTCCATCGACTTCAGCAGCAATGTTGTTGGCTTCAACAATAAGTTGGTACTCAGGGTCTGACTCCATGAGTCCAGTAACTTCAATTTTCTTTCTGTTATTTCCAACATTTTGTTCCACTTCAATCATCACCTATAAAATATGTTTCATATAAAAAAATAAACAAAGTATGTAGTTTAGTTGATTAGGTTCTTAGGGTTTTATAAGCTATACAATTTTCATCACAAAATGCAATATTTTGCAAGAGATTGAAGACTAAACTTAACCTACAAATATAATTTTTCTACTTTACTTACCCGCTTCAATCGCTCAGAATCCCTTAATTTCGCTAGCTCTCGAATAGAAACGTTCTTAATTTCTTCTTCTTTAGGAATTACAGGGAATGGAACCGCAAAATCATTGGCTACATCATTCGATGTTTTACTTTCAATCGCAGCTTCAAGCTCACCATCATCGTTTTCCTCTAAATCAGCCAACAGTTCGTCGGCAAGAGACATTGTTTTGTGTAACTATTTCTACCACGCGTAATAATTTGATAAAAAATCCAGTAATTTCATCAACAAAGATCACAAAGATGGACACAGGAGAAAGAACACAAAAAATTGGGGGCCTGACAGCAGCGACAAGTGACAACAATCAATCAAATTCAATCAATCAAACGAACAAGAATCTTGTTGCATGCGAATATTTTAGAAAGAGTTATCTAGTCACAGTGACCACAAATATCACATGATTTTTGTTTAAAAAGTGGTAGCTCTAGATAAAAATACTTCATCAATTTGGCAATGAATGGCATGGCAACATTCATTTTTGTATAGTGTTGTCCGTTGAGTGACAGTTAGTTCGATCGAATAATGCAAATAATAATATCGATGTATTTGAATAGTTCACTTGTATTTGAAAGAATGCTACGACACATTTTACAGAAGAATTGGGAAAATCATGAGCTTAGTCAACCATACCAGTCTAATCCATTTTTAACGTCAGAAAATGCTCTGCGAACTCCCACTGGGCCACTGGTCAATGGGGACAGCTAGTGGGTTATGTCACATAAGTATGTAGAGGACTCTCCCCGCTTACGCACTAGGTGGGGCCTACCTTACCTACTAAAATCTGACGGTGTCCACCGGGGCCCAATAAAACAGAGCCGCGAGTTATTGTCCTAACTTGGACATTCGTCCCACGGGGGGGCGCGAAATTTTTTGTATGGTCGAAAGGGGGCGCATCTCATCGAACCAATGCCCTAGGCTATTGTTTTTATAGAATGGGCCCAGGCAAACATGCCCTACATCGCGGCCCAGGAAAATGTCACGACAACCCCCGGGCCCACTCAATTGTGGGTTACGGGTGTCGGGTTGCCCGACAGGCTTGGCGAGACTCGGTAGCCGAGTTATAGAACGCCCAGGAGTATGCCGAAGGAATTAACGAAATAAGCTAAAGTCCGAAAGACTCGGGAACCAGTTGAAGACTGAGATTATTTAGCTATTTTCTTCTTTAGTAAATGTCGGCTGTTTGGTGTAGTGGTTTAGAACGGACTACTATGCCGAGAGGCCCCGGGTTCGATTCCCGGTCGGGCAGAAATTGAAATGATGAATTTTAATTTCTGTGATGGGTCCGAGACCTGAGTGTTACTATGTGTATGTTTATATCCGTTGTCTAGTACCCATAAGTACAAGCTTTGTTTAGTTTGGGACTAGAGGCGCAGTGTAAAATGTCCAAGGATGTTTAATATTATTATTTATTTATTTATAATCTGCTTGAAGGCTCACAGAAAGTCCAATGCGCCAACAAGTTATACAATACAGATAATTTATAATATCAATGTCAATATGTAAAATTGACAAATATAATCAAAACGATAAAATTAAATAAAAGTTATTTATTAATGCAGTTTGAGTTGGGGAACAAAAGCCTGTCTTCAACAAAATTGCCTACAAAAAATGTTGAATGTTGAGATGTTTTTGTTGATTTTGTAAGGCAAAACACGCGTGGTGAGTTTTTAAATCAGTCTTTCCCAAAGTGGGCGATAACGCCCCCTTGTGGGCGCTGCAGGATTAAAGGAGGGCGGTAAGAGACCCAGAAAAAAAAAACGGGACGTTGTGTGGAGGCTTGGGAGGCGTAATCTACTAGGAGGATTCTTAGACCGACTGAGCTCGACCCTTGATTACAAAAATGGGGGGCGCTGAAAAATAATTTATTCTCAAAGTGGGCAGTAGACTAAATAAGTTTGGGAACCACTGTTTTAAATCAATAGCTCTTATATCGATCTGATTCGATTATTTGATTGCTAATTTCCTTGCTGTCATTTTAACAACGCACAACACTAGCTTGCCATTATTCACCGTGAATGGTTTTACAGGGGCCCGAAAAGGCCAAATTATTTTGTAATATCAGTGTTTTCTGGTCATTTTAGTGATATTTCAGACTTTAATTGTCTAAATGGCGCTTAATCCCCAGTACGATGCTATCGGGAAGGGTTTTGTTCAACAATATTACACATTGTTCGACGATCCGGCACAACGAGCAACACTCGCTAATATGTATAATGTGAGTGCTTTATAGTTTTTAAGTGGTTTGGGAGAACATGGGGGCCCGTAAAACTCGACCACTGTAAATTTCTTTTGACTACCGTTATATATTTTATAGGTTAGCTTTTCAGTTTCCCCCCCTTTACAAAATGTTGACCATTTCCCATCATCCATGGGCTTATGGGCCATTCATTGTCACCACATGTCTATTTCATACCTCTAGGTGCTATTCAAATGCAGGTACTTGTAAGAGTATCATAATTGGTCACATCCAGTCACATCATTAATCCTTGTAAACAATGGTTTTGTTTTATCTATTGTAGGTTGTTACTTTGCACCAAACCTAAAGTTGTAGAGACTAGAGATGCGACTATCCTTAAAGTTCATTATTATGTATGTGTATTGTGAAGAAATTCCCATCTGAAGAATAATGTGTCATATAAATCTATTACTAGTCTAGTCTACAATGTTCATATTTTATCTATCCATTCATCTATAACAATAGCATTATAACATGCTTTCAATGAAACATAACTTACTTATTCCAGGTCGAAACATCATTTATGACTTTCGAAGGAGTTCAAATCCAGGGTGCTGTTAAAATTATGGAAAAATTAAATGTAAGTCTATGCAAAAGCTTAAAATTCGGCAGTGCTGACTCAACTTTGCGATTATATGATGCAATTCATCTGTTTGTCTGGTAAAATTTTATTAATCTTTTGTTTCAGAGCTTGACATTTCAAAAAATTGGTAGACTAATAACATCAGTCGACTCACAACCAATGTTCGATGGTGGAGTTCTAATAAATGTTCTTGGAAGATTGCAGGTACGTTTTTTACTCTTCCTCACAAATTCGATAAACATTTGAGCAAATTTTACTTGATTAATTATTTATTGTTACGTTTGTAACAGACGGACGATGATCAACCACACGCATACCTCCAAACGTTTGTGTTGAAGCCAATAGGGAACTCATTCTATGTAGAACACGACATATTCAGGCTGGCACTTCATGACGTTTAAGAGTTATTTTATCTACTATCTACAAAGACAGAGTAAGAAAGCATTAGACATGTGTACTTATGCACTGTAAATAATCATGCTTTCACTTTGGGTTGCTAATATCCCTTTATTTTTGTTGGGTTTAGCATCTAATCCTTAGTTGAGAATGATTTGATAAAGCAATAGACTTAGAATGACTGTTTTTTTGTTGACTAGGAAGAAAAGTTATTAGACAACCCTTTCCTTCAAGTTTTTACAGATATTTTCTGTTCTTTTTACCCCTACACATTTCTTTAACTCAATTTCTCTATGTATTCAGGTTATGACTAATACCTTAACTTCTAATCTTACTAAACAGGCACTAGTTCATGTTGATACATGACCTCTGTTCACTGCATGAGCAAATGAATAATGTTAAACTGATATAGAAAGAAAAGTTTGTGTTTTCATAAAACCAAACAAAGTGATAGATAAGAACGTTATTGACCTGTTCATTGTCTTACATTATTATTATTTGCATCAAAAAATATATAAAATTAGTTTATCCAAGTGCATGATAGTTAGATACCCCTTTCAATGTGTTAACTGGAAATTGTATTATAGCTTTTTTGTATTCTTTTTCTTTGCCAGAATACATTATGTGTTAACTGAAGTACCAATAGTGCTTGCAAACTGAAAACCTAACTTGTAATGAATGTACATTGATATACCAATTAATTTTAATAAACTTAATAACATTTTAAAGTGGAAAGAACAATATTACTCATTTAAAAAAAATGAATAATTTCATGAATGAATGTAATATAGGGAAAAATAATAGTCAATGACATACCATGTTTTGATGACATAACAAAGCATTGCCCATGTCAGCCGAGTGATACAAAAGTTACATATTGCAACATAGCTTGTGACATTTGTAAGCGACGGACTTATCACAGGTCTTACATCTTGTATAAGTCTTTACACATCAGCCTATGGTAAATATCAATAAGCGTCACACAGCCGCAAATCGCGTCCCCCACCATAAACTCATTGGTCACCTCTTTTATTGTTCTTTACACTTATTTTAAATCAGCCTGGCTAAGATGCGCGCCGTGATATACTCTTATCGATATTAGTCACCTCTTTTATTGTTCTTTAGACTTATTTCAAATCAGCCGGACTAAGATGCGCGCCGTGATATACTGTTATCGATGATTTTAGACGTCGAAATCGTCATATAAAGTCGATAAAAAGCGCGATTGCCGTTTTTCTCGGCGTGCATCCTAGGCCTAATTGCAATAAAAATTATGTTTTCTCGAATGTATACTTAAAGGGTTATGCCCACTTAGTATGGGACCTTTGGCCTGAGGTGGACAGACATTACAGCATGTAATTTGTTATTTATTAAATAGTCTATACCAGTAAGAAACAGAATATAAATATCATTTTGTATCCAAGTCATTAAAAAAATTTTTTTTTGCTTAAGACTAGAAAGGTTAGAAGCAAAACAAAACACCATTTTTTTATTATTATTATTTTTTTTTGTATGAAAAGGCAAAAAGTTTGTTCTAGAAATGAATTCGCCATCCTTTAATTATCCGAAAATGATACCACACTTGCCATAATACTCATAGTTTTGAAGATATGGGCCTTAAAGTGAAGCGCGGCGGAAGGAAACTTGCCCCCCCTCCCCCTGCTACCACAGGGGGGGCTCCCGATGTCTACCGACGGAAATCCACTCAGGAGCACCCAAAGAACCACTGTTGTAAAAATGAGCCTTCTATACCAAAGTGGAGGGGTTCTTGCACTAAATTCCCTACTAGAGTGAGATTTGTAGTTCGAGAGTATGCCAGGGTCATCGGGAAGCGAAGCATCGAGGACCATGGTCAAAAAAATAAAGACGTCAAAAGGGAAACTTATACAACACTCTTCTGCTTTTATTTTGGCAAAGACTTGGTTTTGAGAACTAAACAACACTCACGATGAAAAATACAAAACAAAGCGAATGACAGATAACAGCTGTGACAATATTTTCAGTGTTGCCATGCTAATAATGTGGTGATGAATAAAAATAATCGATATAAAAATCGATTGTATTTTTTGATGACTCGAAATAAGATGTATAATAAGGTGTGTGTGAAATAAGGTTTCATTTAGTTATTGAAACATTTTTGGTAGTGTTATTAGAATATTTAAAAGGTTTTATATATATCATTTTAATGAATACGTATTTAAAAAAATAATAATTGTCATAGTCGAACAACAATCGATATGAATCGATTCTTACCGATAAGATTCATTTTGGCAACACTGAAATGAGTGTTAAAGACAGGAAGTTGTAATTATCACATAAAGTACTATTTAAATTGGATTTTTATAAAGGCAAATTGATACAAAGTTACACTACGTGAATACTTTAAAAATTAATTAAAAAAATTTGGCAAATTCATATTTTCATTAGCAGCTTGTCCACGCCAGGCCAGAAATGAACATTGTCCTTTTTTGTATTTCCAGTGCGACGACGACCCTCCACACCCGTACATGCAGACCTTCGTCCTGAAGCCGCTCGCAGACACATTCTTTGTTCAGCACGACATATTCCGCCTCGGTATCCATGATTCAGCTTAAATCCCAAGTAACTTAACTTCGAGACAATCGAACAAGATCATAATAATTGCTACCGCAGTCAGTTAACACACTGTATCACGTTTTGGTTATCTAGGTATAAGTTATCAATGCAATCTATTGTCTATTTGAAAATTCAAAAATAAATTAATATTAAGGAGCCTGGCACAATGAGGATAGATTAGCAGTCATAAGTTTTGCTAGATTAATTTTGAAATGAAATAATCTTTAATAATTACCTGTTAACGAACTAATATGTTGTGCTAGGGATCCAAATATTGGCATCGTGTTTGGCTTAGTCAAGTATGGAAGGCTTTAGTCAAAGTAACAGCAGACTTTTCAGTTACATGTATACATTTTATAAATAAATACATATAATTTTTTAAATACTTGTTTTGTCACTGATTTATCATCCAACCATAAACGCTAAGCTTGTATGAAAAAGGGAAAAAAATACACAAAAATAGATGCTAAGACAATCATGTATTAAGTTATAAATAGTCAAAAATTAACAAAAGAACCACTGAAAACAGGTACATTTTTTACCAATCTCGAAATTTAAGACTTGCCTCCCTTTAAATCCTTAGACGCTACGAACACTTAACAAGTTTACTGCATGCACTACAATACGAAATACACACCGGGCCTTACCGGCCCACTTGTCGAAGTGAATGACTAGGTTGCAAAAGTTACTGCGAGGCTGGCACGTAACCGACTCGAGTCTTCCCTGACAGGCTTTGTGTCCACCTCCCTTACATTTAGCAGCTTTAAGGCATGTTCAAGCTATACTGCTTCCCGGCTTGTCTTGGATAGATGTAATTAAAGTTGATTTTTGTGGAGTGAAATATGTTATTTAATATTTTAAACATTTATTAACGGTGCTCAGATAACTTGGAAACTACAGTTAATGTTCATTAGGATGTTAAAGTCATGGGACACAGCATAGCTTGAGTATACCTTACATTCCTAATCCACATTTAAAATTGTAAATTGATTCGAGCTCATTTATTCATTGACTTAACACTACCATAGTAAAATAATAATAGTAAAATGCATTTAAGTCGCGAGGTTAACTTGACTACCATCAAAAGGTGGCGTAAGAGAGAGGCCGAAGACCAGGATTAGAGTGCATTATGAGACCGCGATACAATATGTCTTTGTTTCGGTTAGTGGTGTGGCTCGAAACCTTTTTTCTCAGATAACCACTCGCACCATTATTTCGAGTCAAACGCATGGTGGTTCGGGCGGTAACTCCCGTCTCGGCCTCCTATGACTCTGGCGCGAACTGCCATTTAATGTAGCGATGTACGCAGAAGTAATATTCAATATTGATGATTTATTTGTCTCAAACGGCTTTTAGCATAGTACCATTATATTTTTACTATGACACTACCGACATACGTAGTATTAATCTCTGTGTTTCCCTTCTAATTTCTTAAGAAGCACTTTCAGTTAAAATTAGATAAATCTTATATTAACTACGAATACACAAAACAGGAACGGAATGAATTACTTTTATTGTAGATCATTTTTAAAATTGTAAATATATTTGAAAGCCTTTTTTTAATTTCTCAACTGCTAAAGGAACCACATACATTTACGACTATCACGATTGAGGTGAAGAAGACTACAAAGCGGAGATCAAATAAGACATGGCAAGACCGAATGTGGTCACTTTTACACAAACAATATTTGTACATTAGCCTCATATAGGTGGTACCGTTCCGATATTTTTGAATTTTCCAACACAACCGTCTAGACAAGTGGCACTTTTTGATGCGATCGAAAATCGAATCCATTCACGGAGCGATGTAACTTCATACAAACAAGCGCCGGAGCTGAGACCTTTCGACATTACAACTGTCACGTTTTGCCACTTGTCAAGGGGGGCAAGATTTGTCCATAGCTTGGAAATGTCAAAAGAAAAAGGATTGAGCACATTTGACATTACTCCCTAATCAGGCAAATCTTTAAACAAAGGACGGAATAATTAATAACTAGCGGTGTCTGGCTGCTTCGCCCGCATAGATAAAACTTGACTATTTTAAAATGTATCAGTAAAAAGTTTAAAAGCACATAGGTACACACATTTCACAAACAATACGAGTATAGTTTTACGGAAGGTTGATAAACATTTTTATTCATGAAAGCCACAGCTCAATACAAAATACATTCAAAGCGAATGTGACAGGTATTAATGCGTTTGTGAAGTGGCACACGGATGTGAATCAATAATTCTATTCAAGGTACTACAAAAACCAACATGATTGCGTCATAATCGGTTATAGGCATGCTGCAATATGCGATGTTTTTAAGAAGTGGAGAAGAATTCATACTACAGCTTGAATCAAAAGTTATGTAGGTATAAAAGTTGACAGTTTGTGTTTTCTTATCTGTGTTAATTTTGACAGCTGTCAAAAATCCAAAATTTGGCATTAAGCTACTCACTGCAATAACAACTGAATTAATATAAAGTTTGAGTTAAAATAAAAAATATCGGAATAGTACCACAACTTAATCCACAGGCATCAATAGCGAATACACGAAAACCTTTAGATGTATTTGGTACGCGTAATTTGCATTTTCAAGCGATAAAGTTTGTTGTTCATATCTATCGTGCCTGAGTTTAAAATCTCTTACGATAAACAATAATGTTTACGTTAACATCTTATAAATAAACAAAATAAGTTTTAATAAAAACAAACCTGAGTCATTGTTAGCGCCTAGATTTACGTTAAAGTACACTCGAAGAAAATCATGTTTTAAGTGAAACTGCTTGAATGGTGAACGAATTTCTTGCAATCAATTAAAAAAAAAATCGGTAGGTTAAATTAGAAATGAAAATATTTGATATGACAAAAAATGCTAAACACTCAAACCATAGCGACTGTCCTGAGAAGAATCCAAGGTTTTAAAAACTGATGAAAAAATAGGTGATTGTGCGTTCAAGTAGGTCCACTCCTGATTTTTGTGAGTTTGGCCAAATCGAAATGAATAGAAAAAAAAAAACAAATTACAACGCAACACCCTACTCAATTTCGAAAAAATACTAAAATGGCCAGTTTGAAAACATTCGACAGTCGCATTCCCATTCAAGCGTTCCCGTTTCGAATTTAGAACAGTTTAGGTACTTGCAGAGATCGAAAACTCAGGCGGCTTGGAGCGTTCAGTTGCCGCCTTTCTTGCGGCCGCGGGATCCAGGCAACGCGACGCCTCGCAGCGACCGCATCGCCATCGCACGGTTGAAGTGGCGTTGCGTTTTGTGTTCCTCGACATCGCTGTTGTTGTCGACTGACGATAGGATGACTAGGAGTACTCCCATCACCTGTTCATGTCGGGATCGAACGTTAATGATGATAGCGTTAGTAAATAATAGGCTCTAAACGGCGTTCCGTTGGGCCCAGATTTGATTCCTAGCCATGTTGATAGCTCGCAATGCCGAAAGAAGAACGATTTGATAGTACATTTTCATTTAGATTAGTTTTGTAAGTAAAATTGGCGACGAAAATTTCAAAGGCTCCCCTTTTCGGGGAGATGGAGGACTGTTGTGGACGCCCTCTGCCCCATCTAGGGGACATAGGACCATAAGTCAAGTAAGTCAAGTCTTTTTTGGGGCTTATCATAGATCAGAAATCTCATAGAAATATTTTCAATCCAACCACAGGTATTCTTTATAAATGCTGAGGGAAGTTGATGTTTCCATATGGATTGTCTTATTTTATGTATCTCATTCAGTCGCATAAGAAAACTGTTTTAGTAACGTTTGCAATCACAGAAGAAATACACAAGTTTCCTTACCAAACAGACGATGATAAGCAGCGTGTAAACATGCACCGTCGCCTCCGGTATGTTCTCGATGTCTTTCAGCGCGGCGAGCGCTGGCTCGAAGTCTGGCCTCAAGTCCAACGCGTGCCGCAAGTGTACTGCTGCTTCCTGAAATATTAGAGATATCTATACATATATATAAAAGAAAGTCGTGTTAGTTACACCACTTATAACTCAAGAACGGCTGAACCGATTTAGCTGAAAATTGTCAGGGAGGTAGTTTAGAGCCAGGAGAAGGACATAGGATACTTTTTATCCCGTTCGAAATAAAAAAAGTCTGCTTATTTATTGCCATTAGGGCGGAACAAAGTTCGCCGGGTCAGCTAGTAATAAATAAATATAAGATTCTGAAGCGCACGTACGTGCTATAATCTCCGAGATCATTAGGAGATACATATTGGGTGGAAACATTATGATTCTGAAGCGCACGTTCGTGCTATAATCGCATAGTCGTCAAAAGGAGACATCACCAACATTGACTGCGTACGCCCGTAACGCACGTAGGTAATACGTACGTGAGACATGAAAAGGGTGCGAGAATTCTCCTCACGCCTCGTAGCAATTTAGTTAATTACTTATTCTAATTTAGTGACGGATAGACATTTTAGAACATTTTTTGTATCATAACCCAGAGAAGAACCGAACCTGGGACTCGACGAAAGCGATAATCGCAGCATATAGAGGAAATAATACGAAAACGGCTATTGCAGTTTCGCTAAAACATTTATTTTTTCTTTCAGGATATCTACAGGCAGACGCACAATGTTGATTTCTGTTACCTATCAGATGTTATAATTAGATATCATAACAAATTATGCAATCCATAAAACGAGAGACTGAATAGCGGTAATATCAATATCAAATGACGATAATTCAAATGATATTAATTACGGTAGTCGGCCTCGATGGTTGTCATTCAATGTAAATGACGATTGTTTTTCTTTTGCTTACGACGATATGAATAAGGTTGAAAATATTTCAAATATTTTCGCCGTATTCGTTTGCGTAAACAAACCGCATGTGGGTGTGGTGTTATTGTTATCGATTGTGATTTGTGACAATCGATACTGAATGTCTGGATGCGGTTAAACTTATACAAAAATAATATCATACGACATGTTTATTGTTGTAAAACTATTGTTCGATTGCATCATCTTGACCTTTATTTAAAAATACTATAAATTCTTCTATGAATGTAGAATATGTAATAAAATTGATAGTGGAGCAAATCAAACTTTTTACAGATACTCTTTAAGTGTTTTGTATTATAGGTATTCAGTTTCTGGTCTAATTTAACTTCAAATAAGTTCATATTTTTTTTGTTTTTTATAGATAATATTAGATTCCTTGATGATGTTTTGCTTGGTCGTAACTAACCTTTCACACTAATTATTAGATCACCTGTGGTGCTAACTAGTGAACGAAAATGCGGTTACCTTCATAATTTCTATTACTATCAATAAAACTACGTAACATACCTGATAGTGTCCATCCATATGCCTTAAATATCTCCCCAAGCGTGAAGTACTGTTGCCACGCGCTGCGGTCCGGCGGCTGGACCTCCAAGGAACGGCGCGTCAGGTAGATATCATCATCCAAGTACTGCAGGGTGAACTATCGACGAGTTAGCCACTATAACTCACCTGATAGTGTCCATATGCCTTGAATATCTCCCCAAGCGTGAAGTACTGTTGCCACGCGCTGCGATCCGGCGGCTGGACCTCCAAGGAACGGCGCGTCAAGTAGATAGTATCGTCTAAGTACTGCCATGTGAACTATCGACGAGTTAGCTACTATAACTCACCTGCTAGTGTCCATATGCCTTGAATATCTCCCCAAGCGTGAAGTACTGTTGCCACGCGCTGCGGTCCGGCGGCTGGACTTCCAAGGAACGGCGCGTCAGGTAGATAGTATCATCTAAGTACTGCAGGGTGAACTATCGACGAGTTAGCCACTATATCTCACCTGATAGACTGATAGTGTCCATATGCCTTGAATATCTCCCCAAACGTGAAGTACCTACTGTTGCCACGCGCTGCGGTCCGGCGGCTGGACCTCCAAGGAACGGCGCGTCAAGTAGATAGTATCATCTAAGTACTGCAGGGTGAACTACCGACGAGTTAGCCACTATATCTCACCTGATAGTGCCCATATGCCTTGAATATCTCCCCAAGCGTGAAGTACTGTTGCCACGCGCTGCGATCTGGCGGCTGGACCTCCAAGGAACGGCGCGTTAGGTAGATCGCGTCGTCTAAGTACTGCAGGGTGAAGAGTACCCGCGCCAGGTTTAGGAGAACCTGCAAGTTTTTGGGTATGAGTCTATAGAAAATGCTCTGTTAGGATTTAGCTGTAGAGGTTTAGCCCCTCAGTACCAGTGAATCGAAACACAATAAACATCAATTGTTACTGCGGTCTCATGGGCCACAGGGTTCCACAAGCTAAATAAAACTGTTTTAAAGCCATTACAATTCATAAAGTGCTTGCTACTAGAATACTAAAAACATTTTATGTACAGTCAGAAAATCAGACAGGGTTAGGCAAAAGATTAATGACAGTTATTATTTTTAATTAATACCCACCAACTAAAAAGTGTATTCCATTCCATGGCAGTTATCCCAACTAATATTATAAATGCGAAAGTAACTCTGTCTGTCTGTCTGTCTGTTACGCTTTCCCGCTTAAACCTCGCAACCGATTTTGATGAAATTTGGCATAGAGATAGTTTGAGTCCCGGGAAAGAACATAGGATAGTTTTTATCCCGGTTTTTGAAACAGGGACGCGCGCGATAAAGTTTTTCTGTGACAGACAAAATTCCACGCGGGAGAAGCCGCGGGCGGAAAGCTAGTCAGCAATAATTTATCCTTTTATCAATCATTTTGCTATTTAGCACACAATGAGCTACAACTTACCATTCAAGGAAAAAACAAGGAAACAATAGAAAATAGGTCTATGCAAGAGTTTTTGTAAAATGTACAAATTGACACTGACATGATTGATTAGTTTTTTATTATGCTGTAGTGTCTTTGTATTGTACTCGTACTAATGAGCGTCGAAGCATAATATCCATAAAAATAAGTGGCACTGGGGAATGAGTAAATTACCATGATAATAGTGATAATTACCTCGGCATTGTATGGGGAGACAGCTAACGCGCGTCTGAAGCACTCTATAGATTGTCTGGTGTCCCCTTTGATTCTCCAGAAGTTACCAATCTGGTTGTAAAGCTGAACTGACTTTGGTTTCTCTCTTTTCGCTTTCTTCAAGCGTTTCTCCAACGCATTTATGTCTAGTTCTGTTACACCATTTTTGTATGACTTTTTCTTAGTAAATATAAGCGCAACCTGTAATAGTAAACAGTGGTAAGAATACAATTAATTAAAACATGATAACATACTATAAAACTATTTGCTGACTCAATCAGAAAATGGAGAACAGGTAAGTAAGTAAATAGGTCATCTAAAAATAGGTAATGGTAATTTGATGCATGATGTCTGATTAAAACACCTGCAGCTAACATTATAAGATTTTTTTTGGCTAGACCTTATGGGACTTATTACAAAAAGTTAAATGCATGAAATGAAATAGTTATTCAGTACATAGGCCCTTTCCAGGGCACTTATACTCATAACAAATATAGCTTGCCCTACCACCACTTCGGGACAACATAATATGGGCTGGTGTGAGAAGTAGCATAAGAAACTCAGTCACTTTTGTCAGCCTCTTTTTCAACATGTTGAACATTACTTTAATTTAAAATGTAATTTATTTGTAATAAGGCTCTGTCAGTTTTCACTTACTTGTGGCTCAGGTACATTAGGATGTCTGTGGCGTCTTGCCACTCCGACTAAGTTATCATAGTAAGTGAAGTTTACAGCTTTCCCGCAGTCTAAATATTCATCGTCCAAGTCACCATTTGTCTCAGTGGGGGTGCTTTCTTCATTGTTCTCACTTCCAGCTCTATAAAAGGATTATATTTTTAAAAACATACTCCCTCTCCTATATTTTTTTTTAAACCTAGCAGTCAAATCTGAGTCAATGGAAGTAATAAAATATGAAAATGTATGTGTTGTTATTTTTTTCTTTCCACGTAAATAAATATTAAAGCCATATTTATGATTAAAGAAACATTATATACACTTTAAAGACAATATTATCATGCAGGTCATAAAATATTGTTTCACTATATCTGAGTACAGCCATAAAGATAGCAATTCACACATAAATAGTAGTAGATAAGTTTTGTTTAAAATGTATGAAGGTACCTTTGTTGTTCGTACATCTGACAGTCTGTGCAGAACATATCAAAGCCATGCCTAGTCCAAGTATTCCCATAGTAAACAGTTGATGTTATGATATTGAAAATAGAGTCTTCTTCAGTCATTTTAGACTTGTCAGAGTCATCCTAAAATAAAAATGGTAATTAGATACTCTAAATAAATAATAGTAGTTTCTTGTATAATAAATCACAATTAAGTCAGAAATCAACTTGATTTTTAATGCCAAATCAAGGCAATCATGGTTAAAACATGTCAGAATAAAATAGAAAGGAAAGTATAACAATATGTATAGTGTCCTGATTATATAAATGTTTAGAAAGAGCAATAACGAATATCGACTAACCTGTGGTAAGCCGGATCCATCAACAATTAAATCTTCATCGGCATTTAGTTTCCAAATATTGGAAGTACGAGAATTTGTAACAATAATTTGGAAAGAAAATATATACAGAATCAAACAAGTCAAGTAAGGAGAGTCCCTCATTTTGAACAGTTAAAGTAAGATTAAACATGAAAACAGTTTTTTCATAAATTTTGCTTCAAAGTTTCACACAAATATTATTGAAACACCGATCCAGCAGCAAGAAATTTACAATAAAATAATCGCAATGGATGTGTCGCAGTCAGATTGTATAATCCGCCGTTTTACATTACAGCTAGGCATTTTGCATTACAGCTCTGTTTTGTAATACGGCGGATTAACGTTTAGCCGGATTTAATACGGCTGCATGAAAATCCGCCGGAATGTATTCGGCGCTAAACGTTCTTCAATACGGCTAGCCGTAATGTAAAACAGCGTGTCATTACCCGCCGCTTTGACAGTTTTTAGTTCCTATTTTCAATACCGTGGCGCTGCCGGACAAAGTGGCTATGGATTCTGGTGTTCGGTGGAATCCTACGCAATATTATTAGTGTAAAAATATGAAATCATGGCTGTGGCCGGTGAAGATAATTTTATCTTAAAGAAAAATAACCCAGAAAAAATAACTAAAACTTTATTGTTTTGAGTTACCTGTTCCCTTTGATCATTTTTAATGTCTAAAAAAAAAGACTAAAGCCAAATATCTAATTAATTCTTAAAATGTTTAGAAAAGTCTAATTGTTTTGAGTTACTTTTTTTTAGATGGCTATCCCTTGTGATTTATAAATAAGTAAAAAAAATACTGAAGCCAAATATATTATTTAGTATACAGTGACGAAGGTAATAATTCTTAAATCTGTCTTATTAAAATTTATTTTCATTAAACATTGTTTTATTTTGTAAGTATGGTCACCCTACAATCTATAGTAATATAGTTCCAAAATACTGGACTGTCCTGTCGATGACATTGACAGTGGGGCGCCACCGTCAATACCGGATCGCTGGTTCAGATTTTTGCCATGTTGGAAACCATATAGTTGAACGATGGTAGCGCCCCTCTGTCATTGAGTTTGGCGGGACAGTTCAGCGTGGGTCATCTATACGATGCGGCTAAACGTGGGCCGCCGTATTGAAGAACGTATCGCAATGACAATCCGCCTAAACGTTGAACCGCCGTATTACAAAACAGAGCTGTAATGTAAAATGCCTAGTGGTAATGTAAAACGGCGGATAATACAATCCGACTGCGACAGATGTTTCTTTGCTCTTCTTTACTTCCCTTTCCCTTTCGTACGTACGACTTGACATAAATAGTGTAGTGTAGTGATCTTGTGATTTTTATATCATGTGTTATTTTAGATACTACGTAAAATATTAGAAAAAAAATGTTTTATTTAAGTTAAATGGACTTATAATTAAGAAAAAGAAATATTGAACTTAAATTAATAAAGGTTAAATAAAGTTTTAATCGACTAGTTAATTAATTGTTTTAATTTAAAGTTTAGTTAAAACAAAGTAGTATTCTCAAAGCTGTAACAAAATTAAAAATGTAGATTAAAAAACAAAATGTCACTGCTTGACGCGCTTATGCAACGAGTGTTGTCTTGCCTACGGATATTTTAGAAGCTGGCTAGAGAACCAATAAAAACTACTGTATTGTTATTTCAACCAATGAAATGAGAGAAACAGTGATACATTTTTAAAATCCGTAGGCACATACAAACTGTTTTCAACCAAAATCTCAAAGTGACTGCAATATTTTTGTTTATGTTGCTTTTCTGATAAAATAATTAAATATGGGTCGCTGAGAAGCTTGGGAATAAATACAATAAATCATTCGACACAATGAAGAAAGAACGGACTGGCGACAATTGTCGTCCCTTTAAATTATAAGTATTTTGTTAGAACATGTCTTACAAGTTTTGGAAAGTGAAATAATTTTATAACTTTAATTTTATTTCTTTACAGCCCATCAAATTCTTAGCTTGACTGGTATCAGCTTTGAAAGAAGGAGTATTATAGTAAGTCGGCAAGACCTAATGGTACTGCTTTTTATTTTTGTGGTTACTGTTGTTTAACTGGTGTTATGTTGGCAGGGTTTCGTGGAGCTGACGATAGTGCCGCTGAAAGACAACTTGCGGTACATCAGACTCAACGCCAAACAATGCCGTATCTACCGTGTTTGCCTGAACGACCAATATGAGGCTAATTTTCAGTATTGTGATCCATTTTTAGACATTTGCCAGGCTGACCCAAATACGTGAGTAAAATTGTGTACATAACAACAAATTATATACTATTATTGCGACTAATTATGATAAACAAATGTTATAATAATTCACAATCTAATGATAGCAGTAGATTTTCTAGAGGCCTTTGTCCAGCAGTGGACGTCATTTGGCTGAAACGAACAAACGAAGGAACTGCCAAACAAAATTGTCCATTAATGGTGCTAATGACTGTAATACAGTCTTTAACTACTGCAGTCATTAACACTTCAATCTTTATGTAAAATTATCATTGGCCTAATAAAAATTTCTTCTTATCATTATTTAATTTTAAATCCTATCAAAATTCCAGGAGATCTCTGGAAGTATTTTCCCAGTATCACTTGGCGGCTGCTCAGAAGATTGACCCTGACCACAACTCCGGAGAGCTCCACATACAAGTGCCAGAGGATGCCACCCACCTGGTCGGGGAAGGCCGAGGCCTCCGCATCGGCATTGAGTTCTCGTTGGAGTCCCCGCAAGGGGGCTTGCACTTTGTTGTGCCTGAGGGAGAGGGTAGTTTGGTTGAGGTAATTATTTAGCTGTATGAATAATAAGAATAAGTTCAACAGTCAGCCAATTGATTTAAATTTTTAATTTTGGTCTTTTGTTCTGAGTCTTTGATGACTTTGATTATAATTTGCATATTGTTGGTTAAGTTCAAACATTAAGTACTAAAAATAAAATTTTTTTTTTTTTTTTTTTTCCCCTTTTTATATCTGCAATCGACTTAGGTCATAATCAGATGTTTTGTCTTGCTTTTTTGTTTGTGTTCATGAGGAGGGGTATTCCAGTAAATTCTCTCCCTCGGTTTTTACTAATTCACGTAGCAATCTAGTCCAGCCTTCCAATATTCAGTCCAAGCCACTAGCATCTTTGGTCCAACTGTAATATTTGCCATCTTTTCAGTCTTGTGGTGGTCTTGTGGGTTTGTTCCACAATTTCTCTAGCAAGTTGGTTTGTGTGATGTTTTAGCCTTNTAAATGTAGGTACATAGATATCAGATTATGTTGTGTGAAATATCTAACTTACATTGAAATGATCTTCACAAAAATACATCCTTGATTTTGTTGATAAACAATGGGCATTATATTTTCTTGCGAGTGTCAGCCACTTTTTACGCATCTGCTGATTGTTTGGTACGTATATAAATAACTTGTTTGGCGTTTTTATACTTGTGCTTGTACATTGGGGCACTATACAGTACTTGTAATACGATGGATCCATTAGTAATTAAAATAACTTTAAGATTTCCGTACTATAGTCCATTTAGCGTATTGATTATGACAGTTCTGTTTAGTGAGGCGCTTCTTTTAAACCTAATCGATATTTTTTAGAATCGAGAATATTTTCTTAAGAAATTTAATCGATTTTTTATTTGTTTGATTTTTAATTTTATCTACGAAAAATCAAAATTACATCTTCGAATTTTAATTATCTGGATATGGAATAAACGTTGTTACACAATAAATCACAAAAAAATAAATATTATGCATTTTATTCTATTAGAACAACAAATAACAATAACAAACAACTCGTGGAGAAATCTCATAAAACATAACCGGCCATACAAGGCAAACGCACACGTACTGACTAATATTTGACCTGCCTGAGAGATTAATTGTGATTCGATGGTGAGATGACCACCATATCGATTATTGATTGGACGCGATTGTTCATGTCCATCCCTATGTGAGCAAAAGTTCCGATTAACGCATTAAGCATTTCATGTAATATTTTTTCACAAATTTTAATAAATAATAAACTAATAAGTATTTGAAATTCTTGTTTAGGTTAATTGAGAAAGATTATTAATGTTATTTTGGAAGGATGAAAGCACAAAAACGTGATTGATTTTTACACCTCAATATTTTTATTCTTAAGAAGTTGGATTCATGAAACGAAATGTTTCAACTGTCTAAATCACCATCTTAAGCTGAATGAACTACCTATAAAACAGCTGTGTTTTGCAAGGAGTGACGTCACTCAAGACGCCATGACGGTCGTGAGCGTTTTTGAGGGCTTTATGTCAAATATTATTTAAAATGCAAAATAATCCTTGAAGATGAGCTTTTTTTTTCAAAATAAGAGCGCATTTGTATTAAATAGGCATCAAGGTATATTATTAACTAATTATTGAAATTTAGGCGAAAAGCCTATTCGGTCGGTATTTTTTTTGTAGGTGGTAAGCTATGAAGAGCAGTACGGTGGGATGGTGCTAGATCCTTGGCAGCCACCAGCCAGCGGCGCGAGAGTCGAACCCAAAGACATGTTCTACTTTCCCGTACGCAACGTTCACACCATGTCGCCGAGATACATCGAGGTAAAAGCGCAGTCTTTGAATTATTTACATTATTTTATTTGTAGCAAATACAATTCTGATGTAAAGCATTGTAGTCTTTCAAAATCCTTCTATAGTTGTTTGGAGAAGTAACAACCATTTCTCCATCCTCCCTTAAGGTAGCCTTTCGAACTAAGCGTCACAGACGCAGCGTCTTTAGCTTTGGTCTTAAAGGTAGCTTTTCGAACTAAGCGTCACAGACGCAGCGTCTTTAGCTTTGGTCTTAAAGGTAGCTTTTCGAACTAAGCGTCACAGACGCAGCGTCTTTAGCTTTGGTCTTGTGCAACGCCGCGTCACTAACTCGCTTCCAAAGGCTACCTTTAAGACCAAAGCTAAAGACGCTGCGTCTGTGACGCTTAGTTCGAAAGGCTACCTTAAGACCAAAGCTAAAGACACTGCGTCTGTGACGCTTAGTTCGTAAGACTACCTTAAAGGTCACCCAAAAAAAAATTATGTCACCCACAGATCATGCGCAAGAAATCCCACCTAGTCCTCCGAATGTTGGAGCAACGCATCGGCCAAGAGTTGCTTCTCCAGGTCTTCAACAAACAACTCTCATTGGCCACAACAGCCGCCAACACCAAAATCGGCAGCGGCCTGTGGGGCCAACTGCTTCTGTCCACTAATTCGTTTGTGAAGGCCATATTCACTGTGACTGGGAAGCATATGGCGGTTTTCGTTGACCAGTGGGTGCGGACTGGTGGTCACGCTAAGTTTCAACTCACGTCCGTGTTTAATAGGAAGAGGTAAGTAATTTTGTGTTGATAAAATTTATTCTAGAATATTTAGATACTTATGCATTTTTTACTGGTTTATTAACAAGTACAATAATCTAAAGGTATATTATTATGTTAGTTTTACGCTAAAATCCGCTAAATGGAAAGAAAATCCAGTATAATCAACGCTCAGTGACATATTCATATTCTGGCTATTCTCTATGCTTAAGTTCGAATGGAGTTTTGAATGCCATTTTACACTATTTGCCTGAATTTCCCTCTCAAGTGAACTTTACCTTGAATCAGGGAACAGACACCAAAAACACTGGTAATAGGGTAACAAATCCTTTCATTTACATATCCAATGAAACAAAAACTTATCACACTTCATCCTTCCAGAAACACAGTGGAGCTAGAAATCCGTCAAGACTGCGTCCACGACCGTGGCATTCGCAAATACGTCGGTCCACTCCTAGTCCAGCTCCAGGAGTTAGATGGCACCTTCAAGCACACCCTCCAAATAGAGAATACGGTCGTGAAAGCGGACATCACCTGCCACAGCAAGAGCAGAAGGAACAAGAAGAAAAAAATTCCGCTGTGCACCGGCGAGGAGGTCGACATGGATCTGTCGGCTATGGAGTGAGTCTTTGAACAATCTTTGTCTATGGTACAGTAAGATAGAACACGGTCGTGAAGCGGACATCACCTGCCACAGCAAGAGCAGAAGGAACAAGAAGAAAAAAATTCCGCTGTGCACCGGCGAGGAGGTCGACATGGATCTGTCGGCTATGGAGTGAGTCTTTGAACAATCTTTGTCTATGGTACAGTAAGATAGAACACGGTCGTGAAGCGGACATCACCTGCCACAGCAAGAGCAGAAGGAACAAGAAGAAAAAAATTCCGCTGTGCACCGGCGAGGAGGTCGACATGGATCTGTCGGCTATGGAGTGAGTCTTTGAACAATCTTTGTCTATGGTACAGTAAGATAGAACACGGTCGTGAAGCGGACATCACCTGCCACAGCAAGAGCAGAAGGAACAAGAAGAAAAAAATTCCGCTGTGCACCGGCGAGGAGGTCGACATGGATCTGTCGGCTATGGAGTGAGTCTTTGAACAATCTTTGTCTATGGTACAGTAAGATAGAACACGGTCGTGAAGCGGACATCACCTGCCACAGCAAGAGCAGAAGGAACAAGAAGAAAAAAATTCCGCTGTGCACCGGCGAGGAGGTCGACATGGATCTGTCGGCTATGGAGTGAGTCTTTGAACAATCTTTGTCTATGGTACAGTAAGATAGAACACGGTCGTGAAGCGGACATCACCTGCCACAGCAAGAGCAGAAGGAACAAGAAGAAAAAAATTCCGCTGTGCACCGGCGAGGAGGTCGACATGGATCTGTCGGCTATGGAGTGAGTCTTTGAACAGTCTTGTCTATGGTACAGTAAGATAGAACACGGTCGTGAAGCGGACATCACCTGCCACAGCAAGAGCAGAAGGAACAAGACGAAGAAGATCCGGCTGTGCACCGGCGAGGAGGTCGACATGGATCTGTCGGCTATGGAGTGAGTCTTTGAATAGTCTCTAAGTATACAGCACCGTTCCACTCCTTTTAGACTACGAAACTACGATATATTGGTATACCCCTAGTCCGAATCTAGGAGTGGGACGGCACTCATTGCATGTAAAGGTGAGTCTACGCTAGACGACACAAATGTTTGTGTAATGTGTAATGTGGACCGACTTACCAGCATCGAACGAGCGCGCTTCTAGCGTTTGGCTCGTGCTCGACTGTGCTCCGTCTATTGTCGGTTTTTTGACGAACACGATTTGCATGAGACGTGGAATTCACCGAAAACTAACGAAAATCTTTATGTATCTTTGTCTGAGCTTACGATGTCGAATGTATCGAGTAACAAAGATCCTATAGTATATTCTGTGCCTCAAGAGGTTAGACCTGAGATCTTCCTGAAGTAAACTGTAAATAAATAATTTTCGTAATATTTACCACTCTCAATTTTCCAACACAGCGACTCACCCGTCCTATGGATTCGTCTAGACCCAGAGATGTCTCTCTTGCGGAGCACGGTGATATCCCAGCCTGACTACCAGTGGCAGTACCAGCTGCGTCACGAGCGTGACGTCACCGCGCAGAGCGAGGCCATTGACGCGTTGCACAACTACCCCGAAGTGGCGACGAGGAAAGCGCTGACGGATACCATAGAGAATGAGCAGGCGTTTTACAAGATAAGGTGTAGAGCTGCGCATTGTTTGACGAAGGTAAGTTGGCATATTAATTTTTAGTTATTGCCGATTTGTGATTTGAAAACAAACACCATTTCAGCAAATGAATTTCAAAAATGTATTTCATCATAATAAAATCTAGATTTAAAATCAACTGTTCATGTCCATTATTAAGTTGTTTAGTTGATCAACAAATCCGCTTGAACTCGATTCATAGAAATCTGAGATTGTTGACGTCGGTTTAAGGTTTAGTGGTTTACCGATAGATGTCACCGCGCGCTAGATGACAGGTAATTCACGTAATTTGGCCAATAGATGGCACCTCTTAGATTAAGGCAAAATATTAGCGCGCGGTGTCCGAATTCAGTTGACCTCAAGACGGTGTTTGATTCACTAGTTAGTAGTACCCCTAGTCAGTGTAGGAGTGAGTGATAGGAGTGATAACGGCTAGGAGTGCTCAGGGTGAGGGAATTCCACCCTCTCACTACGGGAGGGTTAAACAGAGATTATGACACTAAGGCTGAGCTGCACCACCTAACTTTAACGGTAACTATGACGATAACCGGTGCTTTTTGTATGGAGTTTGACAGATTTTTGTCAAATTAACGTAAGATGGTGCAACCCACCCTAAGGTGTTTTCGTTTTTACAATGTTAAACAATCCATTTTTTTTTAGAAAATTTGAGTTTTGAAATTACTGTAATATGTTAATCTTTTTGATTCCGGTCGTTGTTGTTTACGGAGTATCCGTTCGTCATAGTTTTCTTTTTTTGAAGGTAGACTTATTCTTTCCCTGTATCTGTTAATAAAGCCTCTTTTCAGGTGGCAAACGCGATGATAAGCACGTGGGCAGGCCCGCCGGCCATGTTGACGATCTTTCGCAAAATGTTCGGGTCATTCTCGGCGCCGCACATCATAAAGCAGAACAACTTCGACAATCTACAGCATTACTTCCTGCAGAAGACCATACCGGTTGCGATGGCAGGTCAGTGGTTAAATCAGTATTATTAATTTATCAAACTGAGTAGAAAATTTTGAACCCGCTGGGAGTCAAACACGCGATACCTGCTCGATCTGAGACAGGTGGTCTAACTACTACTAATAGCTAATAGAGGGGTTGTGGTAACTTTAAAAAATTATCTGTATTATGTACTGATTCTGAGAAAGTTCTTAAGGCTGGGTTGGACCACCTTATTTTACAATAACAATAATAATAACCGGCTGTTAATGTAATGCTTTTCGTATGGAGTTTGACAAATTTTTGACGTTTGTCAAAATTAAAGTAAGATGGTGCAACTCAGGTTCTTTTTTTGTAGGTTGACGAAACATTCTAACTTATACCTCTATTTCAGGCCTCCGAAACATCCACGGCATCTGCCCACCAGAGGTAGTCAGATTCCTCTTAGATCTCTTCAAGTATAACGACAACTCCAAAAACCATTTCTCCGACAACTATTACAAGGCGGCGCTAGTGGACGCCCTGGCGGCGACTATTACGCCGGTTATATCTGTGTTGCAACCGGTAAGTAACTACTGTATTTATTTACTTTGGCTGAACAATAGTTACCGGATCTGAGGTTACATAAGCAATAGAGTACTTTTGCTATAAAGCAATAAAGTTCAAACTTGCTTGTATCTTGTATTTAAATTATAATTTCATTGAGTTTTAACAGAGTAAATACAAATGGGTAGGTCATCTTCATAGAAACGCACCGAGCGCGGTTTGTATGTGAGCGCGCCAATATACATATGCGGCGCGCACGCACACACTGACAAAATTCGGCGCAACCAGAACTTGCTCTCGCTAATCCCCGCAAATTTTTGTCAGTGTGTGCGTGCGCGCCGCATACGTGTTGGCGCGCTCACATACAAACCGCGCCCGTGCGTTTCTATGAAGATGACCTACTCATTTGTATTTACTCTGGTTTTAATGTATTGATGCAGGGAGCACCAATAACCGTCGACTCGCTCTCAGCGGATACAAAATTAGTTCTCGAAGAAATCACCAGGGTGTTAAACTTAGAAAAAGTGTTGCCATGTTACAAAAACACGGTGACAGTGAGTTGCCTACGCGCAATACGGAGGCTGCAGCAATGTGGACATTTGCCCAGCACACCTACGATATTCAGAGCGTATGCGCAGTATGGACAGTATATTGGTAAGTTATGAGAAAATTAGTATTTAACATGTTCTGTTTACAGCTCCACCCACAATAATAGAACAAAAACTGTCTTGCCCATTAAAGTTAGATCACAAAAAAAGAACTAAACACTGCTAACTTTAAAGTAACATTATTCTGTCCAATATCTTGATCATCTTTTTTTATTTTATGAATTACAACTTTTTGTGGTTTTTAAAGCTCATAATCTTGTTCATATAATATGAATCTGAAGAGAATTTGACACACAGTATGAAACATTATGAACTTTACATGTGTCATACTGTGTGTCAAATTCCCTTTTTTGATATGACGGACTTCGTATAGGCGTATTTTAGTGTATTTACGAAGTTTTTTTATCACAGACGTGCGACTCGCCGCATTCGAGTGCCTAGTGGACTTCGTTCGAGTGGACGGCAAGCCTGAAGACTTGTCTTCACTTCTGACTGCAGTGGAAAACGACCCTGACCCTTGCGTGAAGCATGGGCTCGCTAGACTGATGATCAGCAATCCGCCCTTCGAGCGAGCGCAGAGACATCGCTTGGACACAGACGCGGTGGTCCACAGGTGACATTTGACATATTTGTGCAGCTAGAGTAGACTTGTCATCGATTCTGACAGCAGTGGAGAACGACCCCGACCCTTGCGTCAAACACGGGCTCGCTAGACTGATGATCAGCAACCCGCCCTTCGAGCGAGCGCAAAGACATCGCTTGGACACAGACGCGGTGGTCCACAGGTGACATTTGACATATTTGTGCAGTTAGAGTAGACTTGTCATCGGTTCTGATAGCAGTGGAGAACGACCCGGACCCTTGCGTGAAGCACGAGCTCGCTAGACTGATGATCAGCAATCCGCCCTTCGAGCGAGCGCAGAGACATCGTTTGGACACAGACGCGGTGGTCCACAGGTGACATTTGACATATTTGTGCAGTTAGAGTAGACTTGTCATCAGTTCTGACAGCAGTGGAGAACGACCCCGACCCTTGCGTGAAGCACGGGCTCGCTAGACTGATGATCAGCAACCCGCCCTTCGAGCGAGCGCAGAGACATCGTTTGGACACAGACGCGGTGGTTCATAGGTACGACTAGACTTTTCTTTACTCTTAACAGCAGTGAAGAAAGGTCTCGGCCTTTGTGTGGCACAGAATATTTGACCAGTTTGAGACTCGTATTTATATTCCAAGATATGAGTTAAGACACCGTGCAATTTACTTTCGAGTCTATTGCTACCTAATGCATGTATAACGAATCTGTGAAAACATGTTCAGGGTCACATTTTAGTCTATATCTACATTTAAGTATTGTTTAAACCATGTAAAGAATGTAATCTGTTTTGTTTTCCAAATAAATAAAATAAAATAAATAAACACAGGCTTAGCGCATAACTGAGGCAAGGCCTGAGGTGTTTCTGTAACGTCAAATATCAGCGAGACTACAGAATCTGTAGTCATATCTTATATGCTTCAGACTTATAAATGATCTGTCATGTCATAATATTATGTCAGTTTCATCCTTCCCGTGCCGCTCCCATAACACTCCATTCATATTTTAACCAAATTATGTAAAACATACTTTGGCCCTTTTGGAATATGAAATTTTTTAACAATAGCACAATTTTATTTAACAAGGAGTCCATTTCCAGGTTATGGAACAACATAAACAGCCATCTATCAAACGACGCTCGACTCCGATGCGACCTAGTTGACCTTTACTACACACTGTACGGGCCAAAACGGCCGATATGTGTGCCCTTACCCGAAATACAGGCTATGATGAAACAAATGCACCATAAAGAACGTGAGAGGCTAGAACGGGAGAGGGAGAGGGAAAATAGGGAGAAAGAGAGACAGAAGGAGTTGGAATTGAAGCCCGTTATCAAACAGGAGGTGGTTGAAGATGTGAGTATATGTAATTTGTATTTTATTTTATCTTTAAATATACATAATACAAAGCTTGTACAAACTAGCAGCATTGTAAATTTTGTTGTATAATAACACTATTTACAAGTTAGTAAGAGTAAGTTCGTAAGATATTTGGCTTTATGTATCCTCGCGTGTATATTACTCTGAAGTCTGAAGTCCGAGCCGAGTCTTTGAATGTTTTTTGTATTCACTCCATGTTTCTAATATCTAGCAAAAATACCGCAACAATAATACCGCGATGTAGGTATAACGAGATTGATCACCTTTCGAACTAACCTGTCATCACACAAAATCTTCTGTTAGCATGACTCGACCCAATGTGCGTTACTATACTACTTGAATGATATTCTAGTAATTGAAGCGGTGAGTGGACAAAGGTTTTAACTAACAAAATGAGTTATGAGTGTTTGAAAATGTTAATCTGCTCATACTACATTTGAATCCTGAAATGTATGAATGCTTGTCACATAACACCTTTGTCCACTCACCCCTTCAATTATAGCCTGACCAGGAACATAAAAACCCTCGCCATGTTGCGGAAAACTAATGGTACTAATTTCTTTTAATGGCAACAGTAACTGAAAACTTCATTGACATGTCACCTTGCATGTCAGTCTATTGCTGTCAAAGTGTAAACAAACTTTATTTTAAATGTGCGCAATTGATTTTGTGAATGAAATTGCTAAAATATTTTTATAGTCGTGAAAGAAAAGTGGTTCACAATGTGTTAAAGTATTTGTCGAAGAGAAATACCAAGGGTTCGGACAATATTTTCATTGAATAATGTTTCCAACAAAGGTTGTCAAATTGACTGACATGTTTATCGTATAGTACAGTCCACTATGAAAATTAGCTGTGGTTTGTTTCAACTACCTATTTTAAAGTTTTTTGTCACTTTCTAAGTGTTGAATTTTATGGAATTGGGAAAGAAGTACCGAGTTTGAAGCGTTCATGAGCAGACATTGCAGTTGAATATTCAAGTTCTGAATTTGATTATTGATGAATAATAAAATAAATCCTACTAGCTCGATTGATGGTTTCATTTAATTTATTTAAACCAGGTTACCTATAATAATATTTTTTCGTTAATTTATGAAAATATCAAATTAGCCCGTAATCCTGAATCCTGATACATAAAGTTAGCCTATTAATTTAACACAGGTACGACTGTACTCAGTGTTGCACTATCAAATGCAATTGACGCGCCACTATGCCAGGGTTTTTATGTTCCTGGTCAGGCTATATTTGTGTTATTTTTTATTGCCAGTTAAAAATCGAGACGGACATTCCTATGCTTGAATCTTCATCTCTACTGCCGCCGCTGGAGCCGGTCAAAACAGATGAACTGCTGCCGGTGCCGCTGTCAGCCATCAAGGAGGAGGACGTCAAGCTCGACGTGACCACCGTGCACGACACGCCCATGGACTTCCATGTGAGTGTGAGACCAATACCCGCAGCTAGAAGCTCCTGAACATTGCAGCACTGTCTCTAAGGCCGTATACAGAAAGAAAGCTGGAAACTTATAAGCGCTTACCGCTGGTAACCCGCGCAGAAAAATATATGAACGCGCGCCAATAAGCACTGAAGGGCGCCGACAAGTTCCAACACGCGCTGGTCAGCGCTGGACGCTGCCATATAAAATGCCGTTCAACTTGCTTCCTTTGTGAACTAACGGACCAGCGCTGACAAGCGCTGGAAAGCGCTTATAAGTTTCCAGCTTTCTTTCTGTATACGGCCTTAGTCTCTAGTGTAATGATGTCAAGCTCGACGTGACTACTGTTCTTGACGCAGCCGCGGGATTCCTGTGAGTGCCTACTAAAGCTTGGTTCGTGAGCTCGTAGAATCCCGTCCAATGACCCCAAGCTGCCCATCCTTGTCGTTCGCACAGAATTATGTTGCTGTCGCGCTCGCACACTCACTGCGGGCGCGCGTCGCACAGTCGCGACAGCAATATAATTACGCGCGAGCGATAAGGATGGGTAGCTTGGGGTCATTGGACGGGATTCTACGTGCTCACGGACCAGGCTTTACCTAGGAATAGCTTATAGGTGCTCCTAAACATTGCTTCATTGTTTCTTAGGAGTTTCTAGTGTCTAGACGTGATTACTGTTCAGAACGCAGCCGTCAACTCTTAAGTGAGTACTATTTCACTACCATGGAGTATACCTTATAGATACTCCTCAACACTTCTGCACTGTCTCTCTCTGGTGACTATGACGTCATGCTCCATACAGACATCCTAGATACTTCTCTTTAAAAGTTGCTACCACCTCGCTAAAATGCGAATTCCTCGCACTCACCCGCACATCTGCCCGAGTGCCCCGTCCGTACCAGAGCGTCGATATGACGTCACGGCTGCTAGTGCGCAGTTAAGGCTGGTTTTAGAATCACGCTGACGCACGCTGACCGTCAGCGCTGAGAGCCGAAATGTATGAAGCGTCGGCGCCGAACGATCAGCGTCACTCAGGAACGTTCCCTTCAATTATATACATATTGATCTGTCAACGCCGACGATCAGCGACCGATCAGCGCGATTCTAAAACCAGCCTATCTCGACTGGGTTGTATATGAAACGCGCGCATGTGCTACTGTGGACACTTGAAAGATTTCAGTTGTTTGAGTACAACACCGCGCGCTCGCTCCCGCTAGCAACCTGGCCTAAGCTAAAGACTCATCATGACAGCCATGACATGTGATTTCTAACGTCCTAGGAACCTAGGAATTTTCCATGTCAGTACCACCACCATTTCGAACCGAAATTCTATCTACAACTTTTCATTATATCGGTGCCAACTAACAAAATTTTTTTTTATAGTTATTAAAATTATAGTCTATATCATAACAGTCGTATTTTCAGCTTACAGGTCTCTTACTCTTATCAATAGGCGATATAAATTATGTGTGTGTGATTAAATTAAATACTTGAACCAATTAAGTCGCCCACATTGCATCATTCGCAATGTTTCCGTCTAGTTTCATCATCTTCAATCTCTTCAAAGTAATCAATGCAAATAATGGCATTTGATGAGGATTTTATCTACACTAATATTATAAAGAGGAAAACTTTGTTTGTTTGTTTGTTTGTTTGTTTGTTTGTTTAGTTGTAATGGATAGGCTCAAAAACTACTGGACCGATTTTAAAAATTCTTTCACCATTCGAAAGCTACATTACTCACGAGTAACATAGGCTAAATTTTATTTTGGAAAAAAATAGGGTCCTGTAAAATATTTGGGATTTTCATAAGACGTTGAAAAGCGCCATCTATCGTCATTGGTTAAAATCTTCTCGCGCCTGACAAAAAATTTTGAGGTTCGTAAATATTCATGAAGGCAAAGCTGTCAAACGCCATCTATCGACATCATTAGTAAATTAGTAACTAAATATTACATGTACTATGAATAGCGCTGTTCGTAAATAATATTGAAATTTATTAAATAAAGATATTTTATGTAATTGAACCATTCACTGTATGTACCTATTTGAATCATTCACTGTGTCTAAACAAGTAAACCATGACCACTGAGGGCAACTGAGTCACTGGACTCCACCCTACCCATGACAAAGAACAGTGCAAACGGACACAGGAGTGGATTATTGTAGTTCCCTATAGATTGCCGCTGGAACCACGAATATAAGAGAGAAAAAAAACTGTGTTTAAACGAGCAAGTCAAAGTGTTAATTAGTGACTTTTTACAAACTTCCTTGCAAATTCTTACTATGTGCCGCCATCTACCGAGATGAATATTAGGGTACGGTTCAGCGGCGGACAAATGGGATGGGCGCGTGGGCGATTGTAGTTAAATAGGATAAGAATTACTTCGTTTTTATTTTCTGTATGTAATTTGTTAGTTTTTTGGTAGGGTCTTTATTTTAATTACTTAGGTTGGTAGGTAGGTACTTACTTATTTGATTTTAATGATAATTACTATAGGTACGTATAATTTTAGTAGAAAGAAAGGTAATTGAATGACTAAGTGACTCACTCACTCACCACGAAGTCTCAGAAACTACAAGTCTCACTGGCTGATCAAAGCCAGGTGATCAAAGTGGAATACACCTCCTTTTAGAACGTAGGTAGTCACTAAGACGAAATTTTGCAAAATTCAACCCTTAAGGGAGTTAAAAAGGGGGTTGGAAGTCTGTATATTATTGCAGTCCTCGGTTTTTAAAGTAAGAGACTTGAAAGTTAAAATGTACGCTCACTATGATCTCTAGATATTGTGGAGGTGTACATAATATACTGTTCGGTACACTGTGGTACTGTGTACACATCGGTTTGCTGACGATATTGTGGTCATGGCAGAATCGTTGGAAGATCTTGGAACAATGCTCGAAGACCTTAATCGATTTTCCCAACAGGTAGGCGTGAGGGCGAACATGGACAAAACGAAGCTTATGTCGAATGTCCATGTTGCGCCCTACCCAGTTTCAGTTGGGAGCTCAATTCTCGAGATTTTCGACAAGTAGGTTTGTCTACCTGGGACAAACGATCCAGGTAGGTCCAATTTCGAGAAAGAGGTCAGTCGTCGAATCCAACTAGGCTGGGCAGCGTTCGGGAAACTACGCAACATCTTTTCGTCCAAAATACCTCAATGCCTGAAGACTAGAGTGTATAACCAATGTGTGTTACCAGTGATAACTTACGGCTCGGAAACGTGGCCTCTCACTATAGGCCGTATACAGAAGCTCAGTTGCACAGCGTGCTATGGAGAGGGCTATACTTGGTGTTTCTTTGCGAGATCGAATCAGAAATGAGGAGATCCGTAAACGAACCAAAGTCGCTGACATAGCCCAACGGATTAGCAAGCTGAAGTGGCAATGGGCAGGGCACATAGTACGCAGAACTGATGGCCGATGGGACAGAATGGTTCTGGAATGGAGGCCGCTTACCGGAAAACGTAGCGTGGGACTTCCATCAACAAGGTGGACCGCCGACATCGTAAAGGTAGCAGGGAAGCGCTGGACGCAGGCCGCTTCCAATCGATCAACATGGAAAGCATTGGGGGAGGCCTATGTTCAGCAGTGGACGTCCTATGGCTGAAATGGTGGTGGTGGTACATATACTGAAAATGTATCATTAGAAATCAACCACGGGGGCTAAGGAGATAAAAGGAGGGTTGGAAGTTTATATTATGAAAGTCCTATGTGTTTAAAAAGTAAGAGAGTTGAAATTTAAAATGTATGCGCTATAAATGCTAAGAGCTGATTTTACGAAACTCCACCCCTAATGGAGTAAAACGAGGTCCACGCGTACGAAGTCGCGGGCGGCCGCTAGTGTGAAAATAATTCTAATAATGCCTTATCAATAAAATGTAGTGATAATGTTTATTTTTAGCAGCGTAGAACGTCCATCCACAAGTTGGTCCGACGACCTCATAAAGGTAGCAGGAAGGCGCTGGATGCAGGCTGCTACCAAGCGCTCATTATGAAACTTAATTGGGGGAAGCCTACGTTCAGCAATGGACGTCATATGGGTGATATGATGATGAATGTTTATTTTTTCTCTCAGGATGAAACAAAACGCGAGTTTTCGGACAACGCGGTGCCGTTGCCCGGTATACCCGGCACGTCGGGCCCCATCGGGTTCGAGCCGGGAATGTTCCGTCATGACATTAAAGACGACATGGGCGCTCCTAAGGTAAGTCCTTTTGGGACTACGGGACTTATCCCACCACTGCAACTCCTTTATACCGAGGAAACTCTGTGCAGATTCTGCCATACAGAAGAAGAAACGGCCATGCATGTTCTTTGCTCATGCGGCCCGCTTATGAGCAAAAGAAGTATCCATCTCGGGCGACGCATCATGCACCCGGATGAGATAGCAGATATCACGCTCCAAAGAATCTGGAAATTTATAGACTCAACGGGACTAAGCAGTGAACTCTAAACGAAAGGGCTGCCACAATAGATCAAACCTGGTCGAGCTGGCTCAAATGAAGGCCCAAAAACCAATAATAATAAACTCCTTTATAGTCGCGATCTACATCTTTCCCGCCTCTCGTTCCCACTGCTGCAACTTCTGTATAGTCGGTATCTGTAGCTTGGCCTCCAACGAAACCCAACTAGTGAAGTTTGAGTGGTCCCAGGGATAGCCATTGTCGAAGTCTATGAGAATTTAATCATGAGAACCTTTTACCTTTAGGGACTAGCCATAATAGGCGTTTGCGCGCCTAGAACGCTACACGTTCAGGAAGTCGAGCAATAGACGATCAATTGGAACTTTATGCTGCCACAAAATATTTATTCTAAACTTGGATAAGACGCTTCTCATTGTTAAGTTAAAAGTAAGAAAATTCTTGCTATGTTAAAAAATTGTTGCGTGCCGCGTAGAAAAAACGAGCTACTTATATTACTTACTAAACCAGGAACCGTCACTAATTATGTTATCTTAGAATGAACCAATAAATAAAAATACTTTTGTTTTCTTAAATAGTACGTCACTCCGTATCAGTAAGTCAAATCAGCTATAAAACAGTGTATTTGATATTAAAATTCTAGACAAAACATTATAAACTATAGGTAACAAGTTTATATCCGTAAAATACAGAGTGTAGTTGAGTAGTAGAGGATAGTTAAAATATGTTTTGACATACAATAATTTTAAAAATCGTGGCAAAAAAAGGGGTTAGTCCCAACGGCCCCGGTGGATCTGCCCCGTCAACGGGGTGGGAAATCTTCTCTTTTTTCCTCACGACGTTTTCAATAAAGTCTATCCATAACTTTGTACATTTAGAAGAGAATAAAAAGAGTTCGTATTTTATTCCGCAAAAACGATATTATATTCAGGACTATGATCAAAAATTTTCCAAACTGTCAGTTACACCCTGTATACATACTATTTCACAACTTTTGAAACGATCAGATAATGCATTGATTGTATACATTAATTAACTTTGTTATTATAATCGGTTCACGATCCAGTTCTCGAACTAGTTTCCATTTTATTTACATAAAAGATATTGGCGTGCTTATATTCTCATTCTTTTTTATGATAATGGATGAAACCATTAAATACTTTTTACTATTGTTTTTAATCATCACGTTTATCACGTGGAGTTTAGCGCGTGCTTAAAACGTGTGTTAAGGGTTTGACTACTGAATTGATTTTAGTTATTAAAACACACAATTTACACAATAAAACTGTGAAAAATATAAAAATAAGTTACTTATGATTTATAAATGTAAAGCTAAATATAATGTTTGTGTTAGTAGTGATACTTAGCTTAACTTAGATCGGCAATCTGACATTAAAACCGTAGTGCGAAGGCCTTTTTGTGGCGTAAATAAAAAATTTTTTTTTAACATAGTTACATAATTCGCATTCCAACTCATGTACCCATGACATTAGTAAACCACGGCGTCTTTTTTAACGCACAAAAAAGCACGGCTTACGATACGAAAAAAAAGATTAACAAATGATTAAAATAACTTACCGTACCTATTACGATGTCAGAGTATTCGACGTGATATCTCATTGATCCTGATCTAGCTGTAAAGGAAGGGTCCATTTATTTTATTAATTCCGGTTACGTAATGTATTTCCAAAATTTTTATTTTTTATTTATTTATACTTCCTCGACTCGACCTCTTCAACTCTGGACAAATCTTCGGTCGTTAGTCTCTAGGCCTTCGGTACTCTTACAACAAAATAACAACTAAACTTGAATTAATATAAACTTAAGGTTTAAATTTAAGTTATGGTTTTAACGCGATACGCTGCTAGGTAATAATTAATTCAATTCTGCAACGCGAAAGTTTCAAATTAATTAACAACTAAACTTGTTTTAGGCCAAGAAGAAGAAGAAAGATAAAAAGAAGCACAAACACAAGCATAAGCACAAGCACAGCAGCAAAGACAAGTCGTCCAAAGACAAGGAGCACAAAGACAAGGATCGGCCGATGTTGCCCCGCCCTCCTTCCAGCACAGAACACCTCAAGATCAAAGAGGAGACGAGGGAGACGCTTAGTTCATTCAGCTCCAGCCAGAGCCCTTCAGAAGATATCTCGACTATGCCAAGCAATATGAGCTTCTAAACTCCACTCAGACTGTATAAATTAGATCGTAAGCAAAGTTATCAAAGTTCTTAATTAAATCTTAATATAACAAACTACGTCTTTGATTTCATTCTAATTAATATTCATTGAAGATAACAGACTATTGAACGTCGAACTTGTTACGAAATAATGTTATTATAAGTACTTGTCTATTTCGTAACACATCTTTAAATAATAAAAAAACAGAGTATCGATTTAGGAAGTCTATTTAGTAGACGGTATTGGAAATTGATATCGTATTTGTGAGTACAGTCATAAACTAAAGAGTAAACTGCACTTTCTAAAATTTCGCCTGGTTCTAATGCTATTAATTGAAGAAATGATACAGCTCTATGGTCACCCATACCATACCACGTCTATGCAAATAACATATTTTTATAATTATTTTTACGTAGTCGGCATTTATAGTCGTTTCTATCCGAATTGTTCAGCCATTGATATTCTAAATTAATGCTATTGGCTAATCATATTAAATTAATATAGCTCTTGGATTTTGGTTTATGGTTTCAACTAATCTATTGATGGTTGCTATTCACTGCTTCTAATAAGTTACTTTGAATGGAAAATCCAAATTATTTTCGACTCTTATTAATCTCATAGCTTTTTACCTTGACTGTACTTGACACGACCGTAACCCGACACTGCGGCTTTGGCTCAAATGGCGAGTAGAGATCGAATTACTATTGTCCCGAATAATCGATACTATAATAGTATATCTGCGACCTATGATAATGTTGCGTCCGTGAAGATGACAGTTATCTAAATAGGCAGAGGTCTAAACAACTGACTTATGATCTTAAATTGTTTATTATAAGTATTGTTGATGAAAATTTAAGTTTTTATCGATTTTCTAGGTGTCCGAGTTCACTAAAAAAATATTCTACAATGTAAAGCTTGATTATGATAATCATGGTTTGTACAAGTTCTGTTTAGTTGGAGCCAGATAAATTATAAAAGGTAATTTTGAATATTTGGTATAATTTATCAAATTATAATTTGATGGCCTTTTACGACACCTCCACAGTTAAATTGTCTTTGATGATTGTTTTTAATTTATGAGTTGACTTGCCCCATTTATTTCATAGACCGGTTTAGTTTTTTTTTACTGTGCCTATAATAAATGTACATTTAGTTATGTTTTTTATAATAAATCGGTATAATTTATCAAATCATAATTTTATGTTTTGATTAAGATTACATAAATAGGCAAAAAAAATCTATAAACCGGTGAATAAAATAAATGCTGCCAACCAACTTGTGTTACTTATGAACAATCATAAAAAATAATTTAGCTGTGGAAAGAAATATCGTAAATAGCTACCAAATGATAAATCTATAAATTATATCAACTATCTTATATTGCCCATTATTAGACAATATTACGCAACCGATTGACCACACGCCGACCAGACGTGTTTGGGTTGTGGCTTATTGATCTATTTATAGATGATTTTGGCTACTTTAATTGGTAATAACCATAAAATTACGGACAGGTAATTTATAACTGTTTTTGGAGATAGATTTTTTTAACTAAGTATTTATTGATCTGACTCATTTTCCAAAATTAGAAAACAAAACAAACTTAATTATTTATACAGGGTGTTAGGTAAATGAGTATATGAGCCGACACTAGCCTATGTTAACATGGGCATATAAATGGTATGGTGAAGTCAGAAAATTAATATCTTCCTTTTAATTATTTTAATTTTCATACAAATCAGATTTTATAAAATTTATTTTGTATGAAAATTAAAAAAAATAAAATGATGATATCAAATTTCTGACTTCACCATACCATTTATATGCACATGTTAACATGGGCTAGTGTCGGCTCATATACCCATTTACCTAACACCCTGTATAAAAAATAAATAACATTAAAACCACCTTTACCTTTTGTTTACTTACGGGACTCCTCGCACCTCTCGTTCCCACCGCTGCAACTCCTGTGTAGCCAGGATCTACAGCTTGACCGTCAATAAAAACCCAACCAGTGAAGGTCAAGTCTGTCCCGGGAAAAAGTTAAACTGTCATTGGGTCCCCAATGAAATAAAAATATGTTTAGTTAGATTAATCGAGGTACTTAATACTAAAACGTCAAAAGCTCTAATCTGATCTGATATTTAAAATCAAATGTTTTAATTTGACCCGTAAAAAACCATTGATAAAGGAAATGACGTATTCTTAAAGAACTTAAGTACACAAATGTTTAAGCTCTATCATTCGCAAAAAATAAATTACAAAGTATGTTTTCCTAACGAGGTATAGATCAAGTTACCTACTTAACATCGCTCGTAGTACGCTCTCGTAGCTCGTAGTACACCATTCAGTTTTGTTTGAGAGGAAGCCCAAGCTAGGCGGTCGTGGACGAATATAGTCCGATATAGTGACGAATTTTTTTAAGAAAAAATATTGACCAATTTTTTTTTAATTTAAAATATTTAATAAGTTTTTAGAGAATACAAGCTTTTCAGTTAAAATAAATTAGTTCAGAAAATGACGACTCTACAGAATGGACACTCGAAGAAGCCATTGAACGTCGCCATCGTTGGAGGTGGATTGGTAAGTTATGTTTTTTTTATTCGAAAAGGATTTTTTTTATTAATTGTAACAAAGCCGAATATTCTATTTTTAATTTGTGGTACTCAGTAATACTGGGTGGTTCTCACTGGCGAGGCACTGGGACGGTAGGTAATGCGGTTACGGGTTGTTGCAAATTTATGAAAACTGCCCAGCTACCTCGCGATTTTCGCAGTACGAACGGCCTCAGAGGGACATTAGACTTAAAAAAATTGAAACGTCCAAATTAAACTTACCATAATAATAGCTATTTCTTTTTTAGGGTTCCGTAGTCCTGACAAGGAACCCTTATAGTTTCGATATGTCTGTTTGTCTGTCTGTCTGTCTGTCTGTCCGAGGTTTTGCTTGGAAACTATTGGCACTACTAGAGAGCTGTAATTTTGTGGAGGTACGTATATCACGCCGACAAAACGGTAAAATAAAATTTTGAAAAAAAAAATTTGGGTTATCTCCCCTACATGTAAAGTGGGGATGATATTTTTTTCATCTTCTACCCTATCGAGTCGTGTATCGTTGGATAGGTCTTTTAAAATGGCTTAGGGGTTTCGAAGACTATTTTTCTATTTAGGGATCTGTTTGCAAATTATATTATTAATGTTTAAAGTGCCAATTTTTGTTCGAGTAGGGCGTCCCCAACCCTCTAAAAATTAAACTGTTAGCTTGAAAAATCTGGAAAAATTCGTAATAATACTGCTTTTCATGAACTTTCAAGGAAAACTATAGCGGTTAACATACATCAGTTAGTTTAAGAGTAATAGTCATTTAACTCATGTATTATACAATTTCTTAACTAGTAAAAATATTAAAAGTTACTTTAGATGAAGTAATTGCTTGCTTCTGAAATAAATTGTGTTAACGACGGACAACTACGGAACCCTACTGCGGCACGACACGCACTTGGCCAATTTTTTATAAGTCTGCGGACTGTCGTTCATGATGCCAGCATTGTTCACGACCACGTCTAGGCCTCCTTGCGAGTCCACCACCAATTTTTACATGCTGAAGAGCTGGTCCTCATCCGTGACGTCAGTACATTTGTAGAGTTTAGCCTTGTTAGCGCCATATTTGGAATTCAACTCGTCTTGCAACTCAACATCGTTGACATATAGGATGGCTACGTGCTAAACTGCGTATTTCAAAAATATATATTTTTTTAATCTAGGTGTCCTTTTGATTATGTTCATTACACCGGTCAACAAAAATATTTTTTTTTTGCGCACGGGTTTTACTTATTATATTCTAACTATACTATAAGCAAAATATAAAAAAAGTGCAATTACAAATCGAAAATATTTGCTTTTTAAGAAGTTATAGCGATTATAATTTTCCATCTTCATAGTAGAATGTCTTTAAAGATGCACGTCAAATTCTCATTGGGATACATTTATAAATAATTATGGGGGCTTATTCGCAAGAACAAGGGGCACGCTTCCATAAAAATATAGTGGGATTTGAGAGGCGATGTTAGTGTTACCAAGGCTAGTATACTGAAAGCATGATAGGGTTAGGTTTTTATGGGAAAGTAGAACATTTCATCTATACCTACTTATAATAAATCTGTAGAGAGGTCAATTCTGTACATGAAATATGTTTTCAAAATAACTATCAGGGAACGGGAATTAGCGGGAAAACCGCTTAAGTTAGATGCTTGAAATTTGGCATGCAGGTATCTTAGTAAACTTAAAGCTTAGTTACAACAGGATATTGCAAAATTCCCACGGAGTTAGCGGGAAAAAACATTTGTATGAAAAAATCTAAACCGCGTAAGATAGATAGATGAAGGGGGTAAAACGGGATCCACGCGTACGAAGTCGCGGGCGGCCGCTAGTTTTAAATAAATATTTGGACTCTATTTTAAAACTTTTCATGTGAGTATGAATCTTAAATGGATGTTTGGTATATTTTAATAATTAGAAAAAAAGGAAGAAAAAAATATATTTGGCAACAAATTAAATCATCTCTACGTCCATGTTTCATACATTCATTGATATGAATTTTTCAATTTTTTACACATAAAAGCAAATTCAGAACAATTTTTTGTTGTTATTCTTATTTCTAGGTATTAAAGCGATAAAAATAAGCTATGCATAACCCGTGCGCAAAAATACTGTAGACAGTTTTATCAGTTACGTGATTATGTAGTGGTAAAATAGGTATAGAAGTCCAGGATAGATGCCCCACTTTTTGAAACAGCTCTATAACTCAGTCAGTAAGTTTTTATCAACAATTTGATCTAAGTATCTGTAAACTTTGGTCTTTCGTCTATGATATTACCATAATTATTTTAGTTTAAGTTATACCGATTCTGAGTAAATACCATTTTAATTGACCTCTTAAAAGTGGGATAGACGCCTAATGTGGGGGATAGAAGACTCACTGTATGATTTCTTCAAAGGATAGATGCCTGATGCAGGGATAGATGACTCATTAATACAGTTTTTGAATTCTAAGGATCAAAAATTCATTTTTTAATCAAACAAGCCAAGTATTATTACTTAAGACTTTTAATTAAAAATTAAATTTAATATTTTTTTATTAAAAATAATACATACATCCACCTGAAAAACATAACCCTCCTTCTAGCGCAGTCGGGTAAAAAGGTTATTCGATCAGAAGGGCACCCTATTTATTACTTTCCTAAGGTTAACCGTACTACATTCTTTTTTTCCGTACTACATTCTTTTTTTCTTCTTACTTGCTACCTGTGACAAAAAGAGCAGGTTAGGATAGATGCCCCTAGGTGCATGGGACATGGCCCTAAGGGCATCTATACCCAAAAAAAATTAGGCAACTATCCTTTTAGCACAGGATAGTTGCCTTTTTAATAAAAAATATAATAACACTAAAAATCGAATTAAACATAGCTATCCCGTATAATTCATAAGATAGTCTATCAAATTATATAAAAATCTGCTTCATTTTACAACTGACAAAAAAATTATCCATTATAAGATACTTACCAATATTATTTCGACGCTCGATAAGGTCTGGCCGCGGAAGATTTTTGCTCTCACTGGCTAAACGAACCCACTCTTTGATGGTTTGCGAGGCTCAAAGTGGTACGGGGAGGTCCCTTTCTATTATACGTACAATAACTTTAGGCTAAGTTGGTTGCAACATAGTGAACTTAAAATCGCGGCACCTATCCCACTGGGGCATGTATCCTGGAATTACCCTACTTAGAAAAATTTTATCTGCGCACGAAACCACCTTAGGTATTTAGGTACTTAATATAAAAATTTTATGTTTCACGATTGTACAACTTAGGTACCTAGTCTTCTTTAGGTTTTCGTGATATTGTATGAGCCAATTAATAAAAAAAATAATTAATTGGTACATATTATTTTTTTAGATAAGCTAAGTACGCATACCTACTTATCACTATCTGCAGATTGTAAAATCACGTTCCAGAAAAACCAAATCTCGCGATCCGCTATCGTGTTATAGATGGGTAGTGGGTAAAAACCCATTCCACCCGATTTCGTTAAAACTGGATGATTTGGGAAAACCCGGTTTTTTTCCATTATCCCATTTTAGTGGGTGAAAATAAAAATTATTTTTTTTAATAATGAGAAGTTGTATTCGTTGCTAAGGGGGCGTTCTAGTGTTACGTAACGCAATTTGGGGGGAGGGGGGGTCTTGTAAAACGTTACGATGCATTACAGGGGGAAAGGGGGGTTCGATTCCAAGTGTTTACGCAGAAGTACATTGTAGTCAGTGTTGTTAATTGTTGTACCTTTATACCGTAATGTCCATAAAGAGGGAGATTTACCCCCCCCCCCTTTACCTTCTAGTATGAAGTCTCCTGCACCTCCCCAACATGCAAACCCGCTAATTTTGCAACCATCCCCAAACTGCGACTCCAAGTCCTCCCTCATCATGTCCATGCCATAATCACAAATTGTGTTGCTACTAAATTTCTTCTAAATCGGTTCAGCCTTGGTGGAAACCGGGCCTAAAGGTTCAGCCAAACCAAAGCGATCACACGCGATCAACTTTAAATGATTGTAGAGACTTGAGACAACGTTATAATAAATGAAATCAATTAAAAAAATGGTTCAGTAGAAAGAACGCTAATTTTTATTTTGAAAAATTTGGAACAATAATATTTCTTTTTTTGTTTGAGTTTTTAATAAATAATTAGAACACAACAGTGATGTACTTTGTCGTCTAAAAGTATTACACTCGCGAGCAAAAGTATGGAATCACTTACATGAAGTTGTTTCCACACGATGTTGTGTACTAACGAATTTGTGAGGAACAAAAAAAGTGGCACCATTTTAAAGATTAAACTTTTATGTTTAAATTGATACCAAATTCATTTAAATCACACCAGTATTTAAGGCCGGGTAACAGAGAAAATGGCGAAAATGAGGTTTTCATTTTTCATTTTTGAGGTACTAAACAGTAAAATAAAAGGCTAAGATTTTTTTTGGGCATAGTTGAGGATATTTTCTAGGGCTATTAACGGATGGAAACACGATTTGATGAAGTTGACTCGATAGAATAAATTCCCAAAGTTACCTCTATTCGTTTTCTAATTATGGTTTTATTTTTAAAATAAGCGATTTGAGATTCTGAATCTTTTACTAAACTAAAGTTCAGAAATAACTTGAGGGCTTTTAACGGATGAAATTTTTATATTGCGTCTTATTTAGTTACTATGTTAAAAAATGTGGAAAAAATCGCCCATGACGGCTTGGACAATCTCAATCAGTCGCGCGGTGGCGCTTACGGAGGACGGACGCGTGCCAGTTTTTTGGCCGTGACAGTTCTCGATTTGTCAATATTTTTGACAATGATGACTTTGATGAGTCACAGTATAATAATACCAGTGTTACTGGAGAAAGCTAAAATTTTTGATAATGCTTATCGGTGACCTGCCGTCAGTTTCGAGCCTGTGGCAGGCCTTTTTGGAGTCAAATTCTATTGCTTATATCTTAGACGAACTGTCCACTTGCTAACAGCTATCTTACGAACATTTCTGAGCTCTTGATGGACATCGATTCCAGTCAAATGACGATTTCATAGAGAGGTTGACATGAAAAAACGGTCTTCCCTCTGCGATGTGCACCGGCGCTGTTCAGAACTTGGTCTCGAGATAAAGCCACTAGTCTCCCGAAAGCGTCTTGAAACTTTCGAAACCCAGGACTGGCTTATGTGGCGCTGACGTGCGACAGCCCGCTGGCTGAGCCCTTCTTGCAATAGTGCAACGATTTGTGCTGCTTCTGAAGGTGTAGAATCCCAGGTAAAGTGTCAAAAGAAGCGGAGATGTGTATGAATCAACGTATGAAAGCAAAAATCTAAAAACGCGTGCTTTTATAGTGGGTAAATAGGCCGCAACTCGCGACGTATCAAACAGTTCATACATGTCTTTTTCGTTACTTCTTCACATCAGCCGCGATATCTTTTTAAATACTGGTGTGATTTAAATGAATTTGGCATCAATTTTAAGATAAAAGTTTAATCTTTAAAATGGTGCTACTTTTTTTGTTACTAACAAATTCGTTAGTACACAAGTTCGCGTGGAAACAACTTCATGTAACTGATTCCATAGTTTTGCTCGCGAGTGTAGATAAGTACCTACAATAGGTACTAAAAATAAAATAGCGTAGAAAGATTAGTTACTATACTATGCGTTTCTTTTAATTCTAATTTAATTATTTGTTATTGATTTTAGGTAGGTTCGTTAGAAGCCTTGTATCTAGCCAAAAGGGGACACCATGTCACAGTCTACGAGTATCGTGAAGGTGAGCGAGTTATTTATAGAATACTAGTTTTATTTAGCGATAAAATTAGATTCTCATTTACATATCCCACCAAAAACATTCTGTAAAAAACTAGCCAAGTCTCGATGGAGCTGCTTGTTTATCTCTAAAAAGTAATGAAATCTAGACAAAGTCGTGCCAAGTCTATGGTTCCTTACTGCGATTTCTTTATTAATATAGTTAATGTTGTGTGACTTAGCCGTTGAAATATCTTTATTAAGATAATCATACATAAGTATTATTGAAATACGCAGCTTTATTAAGCCTACAATTGACTGGTCATTGAATCAACGTTTTCCAAGTGGCAATTTTCCATTGTCAATGGGTAGCGGTTCTGGCGATAGATTGGTGCAATGGTGTCATGGAGTACCTGGTTTTGTACCCTTCAACGGCCAAGTCACACAACATTAACTATATTAATAAAGAAATCGCAGTAAGGAACCATAGACTTGGCACGACTTTGTCTAGATTTCATTACTTTTTAGAGATAAACAAGCAGCTCCATCGAGACTTGGCTAGTTTTTTACAGAATGTTTTTGGTGGGATTCTCATTTACATAAGTTCATAGCACCCACTTCTGGTATGATTGACACTTTGACCAACGGAAAAAAGCACGTCCGGGTTCATTTTGTAATAATGAGCAATATTTCGGGACTATTCCCACCTCTCGTTTCTACCGCTGCGACTCCTGTGTAGCCAGGATCTACAGCTTGACCGCTAATGAAAACCCTACCAGTGAAGGTCAAGTTTGTCTCGGAGGGAAAGTTAACTGTCATTGACCCGCAACGAAATTAATCAGAAGAACATAGGAGGAGTTCGAAGTTAAGGTTCGACTTCCCTCCATTGCAAAGCGTATGACAATTGACGCTGAACTCTTGGCAGAGTGGTCGTGGTCGTCACACCTGGTTTGGTGGCAAGCTTCACAATCCGTCGCCATTCCTCCCGCATTGCAGCCTTTCTTGGACACTCGTGGAGTGGACCATTGATCGTTATACTCACTAGTGAAAGTACTCATTATTGTAGATAAATAATCCAGTAGGTCTTAATGTACGTAGAGATGATAGAGTATGCTCTAGTCACGTCCACATTTTTGGACGCTTCTTTAAAATTATGGAAAAAAGATTAGAATCATTCCAATTTTAGTGATGTTTACTTAAAAAAAATGTACCTACATTTGTGATCTTGAAGCTTAAGTAATTGGAAGTCAGACATTAATCAGATGTCGAACAATAGGCTTTATTGGATTGATTGGAATCTATTAATGTAGATTGAGTACCCAATTGCCCATACTGTTGCTTTGATCAATTCCGTTGTTTTTCGCACAGTCGCTTAATCTGCTGTTCATTTATTTAAATTGGTAAATAAGAAGACCTTCAACTTATCACCATTCCTAAAAATAATTCTCTTTGCCAAATTTTTGGCAATGGTTTAAAAGAATAAATTGATTGATTAGACGACGATAACTTACCTATATCAAGAGCCCGACAGTTTCACCTTAGGTTTCGCAGGGCCACTTTGTAAAGCCACTCTAACAACTCTTAACATATTAGCATAATAGCTTACCTTGAGGGTTCTACTATAAACACAGATAACATGCTACTATAAATTATTTGTATTGCACAAAAAACCTGTGATTTTCAGATATAAGAAAAACTCCTCAAATAAGAGGCAGATCGATCAATCTGGCCCTCTCTATCAGAGGCAGGAGGGCTTTGAAGGATGTAGGCCTTGAAGAACACATGATCAAGGAACATGGGATACCCATGGCGGCTAGGATGATCCACCGGCTTGATGGCTCTACCTATAGCATACCTTACGATGCTAGGACTAATCAGGTGAGTTAACCCATTCGTTTGTTTTAGCCAAATGACGTCCACTGCTGGACAAAGGCCTCCCCCAAAGATTTCCACAACAAAACAAACGATACTTACCATAATTATTATGGAAATTACGCCGGTAACTTACTATATGCAATAGTTCTGAAGTATTTGTATTCCAGATTGAGGAGAGTTTGTGGTACCTAAATGTATTTGTTATGTACCATTTGTGTACCTATCTAAATATTTGTGAACATGTTTTCACATAGGTATAAGTAGGTACCTACCTACTATTTATATTGAAACTATGAATACCAACCGAATAGTTTTAGACTGTCGTAATTGCTAAATAATACGAAATACGTAATAAATTAGTCGTTTATTTATAATATGTGATCATTATTATTCTTAATTAAGATATAAATAACTAATTGAAAATTAACATAATCTCGGATATACGAGTACTTTGCTTACATTTATTATTTGTTTACCTCTTACGCTACTTTATAAGTTTGTTTCTTTGATTATTTAAGTTTTTATAATTTAGTTATTTTACAGACTGCTATTGATTTAATCGTACACTTTCTTGTTGCGAAAAAATGTTTTAGTTCGCAAAGTGAAATAATATTCACAGAAAGCGTAATGTAAAATGTTTGAAAACTCTATCCCGTAATGAAAGAAACGTAGATAATTTATTAATAGGATCATATCTCATTTTATGTGCTAAATATTCCTAAATTATATTTTACAGTGCATCTACTCAGTGGGACGTAACTATCTGAACAGTTTACTACTAAAAGGTAAGTTAACACTTACAAAACTTGATTTATAACTATGATTTAACTTAGTTTTCGTAATCTAGTGCTATTTAGTATTCCAATGTTACCCTAGTTCCCTACTTGCGTTATCTCTAGGGTCGAACTTAAGACCGTCTATTATCAATTATCCTTAGCATATTAATAAATAAGATCTATAAAACAGTTGATTAATAATAATTATGATTTCCTTTGCACTTTTCTAAGGGCACGGGAAATTCTGTGTCAATGTTACTCGGCCTTAATTGCTAAAGCAACTTCATTAAATGCACTCAAGTTACGGTCACTATGTTACTAACTATTTAAATAATTTTACAGAATCAGAGAGTTATCAAAACGTTGAAAGGAACTTCAATCATAAACTAATCGAAGCAAACCTTAAAAAGGGTTCTCTAACTTTTCTCAAGTAAGTTACAAATATTTTTTCTTACAAAAATAACAATTAGAAAATTACAGAATTGAAATGTTTCAATGATAGAGCAAAAACAAAACACTATCGAAACTTATTAACTAACTGAGTCGTACATTTCAGCACTTCAACTAAAGAAGAAGTTAGCATAAACGCAGATTTGGTCATTGGGGCTGATGGTGCGTTCTCAGCAGTCCGCAAAGCGATGATGAAGCAGCCACTCTTCGATTATAGCCAGAAGTATATAGAGCACGGATATTTGGAGCTTTGCATACCAGCTGACGAAAATGGTGGCGTAAGTATAATAATATAAGCACAAAATGGCTAATGTGCCCATCTCAAATTTTTCTTTCCCATGATTTGATTTTGTGTACGACCACGGTAACGTATTGGCTTATTTGGTTCTTTAAAGTTTTTTGATTCCTTGGGAATATTTCTTCTAGTTCTAAAATGTTTGTGTCTCTCCAAGCATAGCTCTATGCAAAAACAAATCCCAGAAACGACATAACCTATGATCAAAACAAGGAAATGATTCTCAAAATCCGCTATCCTAAACTTTTTAAAGGTTTTGGGTATTTTCAAAACAGCAGCTCGTGTCTTGAATTCTATAGTGTTTTTATGATACTGCAACATACCACTTTCAAATATATGCTGAGCCACTATTTGGAATTCTCTTGTCATAGGGTAACCTCTAGGAAGGTACATCGTGATTATGGTATCTGCAGAGAAACGCCAGAAATCGAGTTCCCTGTTCCCTTCATCATCAATATATTTGTCTTCGTCCATTTCGTATCTGTATGTCATTTCAATGGAATATAAATCTTCTCTAGTTCTGATTATATCTAGTGGCGAATCATCATTACATTTAGGCAATGGATAATTTTGTGGCAAGTCATGTTGGAAAGCATATTTGTAGTAAGTACGAATCTCATCGCTGATACATGGTTGTAACGGACTTAGGGAATGCAAATCTTCGGGTGTGAGATAATCTATTGAATTTTTTACTTGAGCAGTTACCAAACTGTACAAGGCAGTTGTGTAAAAATTGCTCACAAAAAATGTAAACCAAATCCAGCATGTCAGAATTAACCTTAACCGTTTAACCTTTAATAAATGTTCATTGGTGTTTCCCAAATAGAAAAATCCCCAAAGCTTCAGTATCAAACCCGAAAGGCTATGATACAATTTTGGCGTCAATCTGAGGACAATGGTGGATATTATTGAGATCACTGTAAAGTACAGGATTACCAGTATCCATGTTTCCGTGTCAAATTCTTCGTATAGTTTCTTCCAAACGGCATGTTCTGCATCAGGGGTATATACATCCAAAGTTGCGAAGTTATAGCCATATACACAATCAAAAATATCATACCGATTTTTAATCAAGATGAATCCACCCGCTACAATGTCTGCTTCATTATTCTGTAAGAATTTTAATAATCCTGTTGCTGTACGATTTGGTAAAACAATCCCTAAAGCTATGGTAGTTGGTTTGAATTCTAAAGTCATTCCTGTAACTTCCGCTAGAGTTTTTAATAGATATTGTTCCAAACCAATGTGTTTCTCATCTTTGATAATGATGTTAGGAGCGTCTTCTCGTATCAAAACTTTAGCATTACAATTTCTTAACCGGTTTTTAGGTTTTTCGGGGAAATATTTTTCTACACTTTCATAATCATTGCAATTTGTTACTAAAATGGCATCGTTAAACTTCCTTCCACAACATCCGTCTTCGAAAGGGTGATATGTAAATATTTTTGCATTATCATGATCATTGTCCGCTTTGGTTATCAGAATCACGTCGTGTGTTTTGTATTTTAGGAATGTATTGAAAACTTCATTAATTTCATAGATTGTTAAATTATTTATATGAACAATAATTTTCGCTCTTGGGTCCCAAAATGAATCGAAAGTTATCTGCGACATTCCAAATTGCAACTGCCGTAGATTTTCAGTTACCATGACGTAAATATCTGTATCTATCATCAAGTTGATATTGCTGAATGACCTTACTGCAATGCTGTAGTATTCTAAGTTGTTAATCATTTCTATGAGGTAGTCAACGTCATCATGGGAATGCACGAACGATACAACAGCTGAATGTAGCAATAGTTTATATTCCATGATGTTCGAAATACATTTTGCTGCTGTAGCGTTATTTTCATTTTTTTCAGTTATAGCCGAAAAGTATCCAGCATCGGAAAAACTGTCACATGAATGGAAAAACAGAGCAAGATAGAAAACAACCATTTCTTTTACCTTCTTCATAGTCGAACTCACTGAAACTGTAAACAAATACGTATTTTTTAAGTTTTAAATAAAAAATTGAAACGGGTCANATCTATCCAAAATACCCGTATACATGGAGTTACATTGTGCTCCGCCAGTATAGTGGCCGCTAGGCGTGCGGCCAGCAGAGCACCCTGCAGCTCCAGACGCGGCATCGAGACTGGCCTGAGTGGAGTGACCCGTGACTTCGCTGCAATGAAGGATAATTTGACTTTACCGTTTGAATCCAAAATACGCCAGTACGCGACACTCGCGTAAGCTAACTCGCTGGCATCAGCAAAGACGTGTAGCTCCAGCTCAGATTGGTCTAAGTCCGCGTTGCAATGAGACGCATAGCAACCTGGAATATTCATATTTTCCAATCACGCGATATTTTCTAACCATGAACCCCATTATTTTTGTTGGTCCATTGGTAAGGGTTCATCCCAAGATACTCCTGTTCGCCAACATTTTGAAGGAGTATCCTGCTATGAACTGTCAGTGACGAAAGAATTCCTATTTGTCTTTAACCATTTTACGCTCTAGAGTATTGAAACGAGAACGAGCGAGAGCGTAACTACCAGGGACATGCGGGTTATCCTCGCGCCAGAGCAAACCGACTTTAAACCTACCGCTTGGTAACCTTTCAGCAGTCTTGTCGAGAGTTTGTAATGCGCGCTCATGTAAAGGTCCGCAGGATGTGGAACGTTTAGTAATTCCTAAAGCTTCTAATTTAAATTGTTCCTTGACCAAATTATCTAGTTCCGATAAATCGATATTTTCCACATTGGTTTTATTTATAAAATCAAATCCTTTAAAATTCCTACTATTGTTAGAAAGACCATGAAGTACCCAGCCTAGACTAGTACGAGTGGCGATTGGTTGTGAACGCAAGCCTGACCTTAACTCTTGTGGTACTGTCAAAAACCAATCCGAGGCGCCAATAAGAACTGTAGGCTTGGCATCTTCATATGTGAGCTCAGAAACAATGTCACTCAGGTGTGAGTATTGAATGTCTTGAACCGAAACCGTTTGCCGAGACAGATCAATATTAGAAATAGTTCGAGTATTATTTATTGTATAAAATTTATTACTGTATTTTCCTCTTATTTTAAATGAAACATACTGTATATCTTGCTCACAAACCATACCTCCTACGCCTTGTATACGTATGCGTCCATCTCTGCCCTGGGTACCTATTTGACGCGCGATGGTGGAATCTATTAAGCTCGCTGTAGATCCATCGTCCAGCAACGCGAAGGTTTCAACATCACCTTGGGGTCCCCTTACTACAACAGGAATCACCTTTAGTAAAACTTTCCGTGAGGGATGTGAAGGGGCTAATGAACACGAAAGGGCAGTATCATTAGACAACGGATGCTCAACAGGACTAGATGGTTGAACTATCGGTTGGATATTGCTGTCATTAGTCTCCTGTTCGACGGAAACGTAGGTGAAGATGTTGGGCACGGACGGTTGACAAAAGGTAGGTGCAGTAGCATTTTTAGAAGAACTGGTTGACGTACGATGTAACAGTTGATGATGATTGAGTCTACATTGATTTATGCCACACATTTTTCCTTTGGAACATGAACGCCATTGATGTTTCTTTTGAGATAAGCATTTATAACAAATTTTATTATCACGAAGGAATTGTACTCTTTGGTCAACATTGATAGATTTAAAACCTCCACAGTCTATGATACTATGAGATTTATGACAAAAAAGACAAGTGTCAGTTACGTCTGTCACATGGACGTGACACTTCCTTATTGNGGTCAACACATCGTCTTTTGACTGTTGAAACAAGTGTATATTTTGTTTTACAAATTTTCCCATTTCTAATATATAGATACACGGAAGTGGCTCATAGCGGTAAACTCATGGTAAGCACACTGGTTCTTGCGCTGTCGCGCTATCGTGTGTTACAACCTCCTTAGAAAGTATAACACGTGACGGTTTTTATTTCCAAATCGATTCTGCATGACTTTGTCTAGAGCCTGGAATAATGAACTCGAATAATTAAATGAAAAATCTAGATAATATGGGTTATTCAGCTAAATTATATTGTAGCGCAATCTCAGTCTACCTTAAATACTGGTTTAAAATGTCATTTCCATACTAAAACTCTACATCTTTGGAATGCATTGCGAAAACCAATATCATCAAAATATTTACTTTAAAAATAGATTTTCATAATTATTCTTAGTGTCAAATATAGTTTTTTTATGTAACTTTGAACTTTGTAAATATTTTTTACATAATTTCAGCTTCAATCCATACTAATATTATAAATACGAAAGTAACGCTGTCTGTCTGTGTCGCTTTCACTCCTAAACTACTGAACCAATTTTGATGTAAGGCATAGAGATAGTTTGAGTCCCAGGAAAGAACATAGGATAGTTTTTATTCCGGTTTTTGAAACAGGGACGCGTCGATAAAGTTTTTCTGTGACAGTCAAAATTACACGCGGGCGAAGCCGCGGGTGGAAAGCTAGTATTTATATAAAGCTATACCACGAAATAGATATTACTATATTTATGTGCTTAGCCACATAACTTTGCAGTTATGGTCTCGAATATCTGTTCGGTACCGGTATAGGATACGCGTTTTCGGTTTAAACTAGGGTTTTATTCAAAATAGTTATTCGATAACGGAATACGACTCGATACTCGAACTCACTCGTGGTTAGGGTCACCATTCGGGAAGCGATTTGAGGTTGAAAGTTCTCATCACAAGTAATTTTTGAAAGAGTGAACAAATCAGTTTGTAGAATAATATCGTTGTGTTCGTTTATTTCTTTAAGTGTTTATAACTTATAAGTACTATAACAAGAACGTTGGAAAAAGTCTCACTTTATCCGTGTGGTTACCCTACTAATTGCTGTAGAGCTCCGCAAGTTCCTGAAGGTGACAATTCGCATGTGGAAGATAGCGTGTTTTGTGCTCAATTTACTCTTTAGGATGTTTTAGAAAGAGTGTAAAAAATAGCATATGAAATAAATAATACCGTGACCACGTGAGCCACATAATGTTTATTTGACAGTAAAGAGTCCGGAAAAGGTTGGAAATATTAGGGCGATTGGTTACCCTACTTGACATCCGCGGTTGTGCTAGATCGCGTGTTTTGTGCCACTCAATTTACTCCTTAGGATGCACGGAATCATACCGACTTCCTTCCGGTGATTTTCTAACATAAATACATGAATATTACAAGACTTGAGATCGAATGAGTGTAAAGCTGCTAGAAAATAATCAAATCAAATAATTTATTCAGTATTTTCTGAAAACATTGAATTTTCGGATAGATTAGTTTATTCTATAACCTTTTATTGATACCGTTCGAAAGAGCTCGTGAAGTACTTTCAGGATCAGTAACCACCAGTTTTTCGATATCTTGTATAGTTTAGGAATAATCCAGTGAGATCACTTATCGTTATCACCCTGTATTACCTACGCTAGTGCTGAGAAGAAGAAAGAAGGCGGAAGAAACTCAATCACCTCTCTCAGCTTCTTTTTCGATAGTAGAAAAGAGAGAATAGGTACTTAGAAGACTAATACTACAGAATACATTGCTAATTTAATACCTATGTAGTTGTGTTATCCTCGTAAGACCGAAGAGTAAATTTTGTCGACTTCTAAGTATCGCCGAATGTGCTTTCAGAAGAACGAATAATTTGAAGTAGTAAACGCCGAGCACTTCGAGTAAAAAAAATTCTATGTTAGAGATTTTCTTTTGCATTCATATTTTCAGGGGCCCTATATAATAGTGCATAGAGCTTATTTTAGGTGAAAAATAATAAAAAAATGTTTTCTCTTAAAAGAACATTCGGTATTACAGACTTTAAAAAGGAAAAGTAAATAAATTGTATTTTATACTTTAAAGTAAAACATAAATGTAACCTTCTTAATAAATTAATACTACATAAAGATACAATAATGATATTAATAAATGTAACTGAAAAGGTACAACGGTTTTAATTTTATTTAATGTTTCATAATTAGTACTTTTAAAAGTACTATCGGTTTTATAACATACACTAATGATAGGTTAGAATGTATAAGAAGTAAAGTGAATATTCATGTTAATTATAATATTTACTAAACTAAAAATCAGAACGTTCTCATGGTAAATTTTCTCAATCATATCATAATTTTAAAAGTCCAATAGTCAATCCCATCTCAATAGAAAAAATATACAAAAATAAAACTTTCACCATCAAGACCGAATGTTCCTTGCAAAGAACTATTATTTTCAAACGAAAAAAAATCTTACAAAAATAGTTCAAATTGGGAAAAATAATTTTTTTGCTTGTTTAGCAGTGTCTTAACTTAAATTATACTGGTCAGTTTTGCAATTAAACTAAGTTTACGTGAAGAAAAAAAATTAATCGCACATCACGTCTTCTCGGACGAACCACCTTGTCAAAGAAAAATGATAATTTGACAGTGACATTTTGTTTTTTTTATTTTAATTAGTTCGGATACCTGATTTTGAATACTTTAAGCCATAGACTATCACTCTTTTTTTTCGATAGGCGCGAATTTTTGAACTTAAATTTATCGCTAAAGTTTTAGTTCCTCTGAAGGCACATCCGGCGATACTTCGAAATCACCTCCGAAAATGTCTCGGCGTTACTGACTACAAAGTTTTAGTTCCTTCTGTGGCACATCCGGGCTTACGAGGTTATACCATAGTGACTAGAATAAGATAGAGTAAGTCTAGAATATAAAATTGTCTTGCGGTCTGGCCTTGTGGTTCGCGTACAACACACCAGGAATAGTTGCGGGAGAAGAGAAATAATGCGGGGGTCGGCTGGTGACTCCAAACAACTCAAAAATACAGCTGCAATATAAAACGGAAACCACCAACCTGCGGATCACGAGACGGAAACCAGGCTTCGCGGGTCGACCCGTCGATATTTCTTGCGGTTTGAGTATTTAACAAATTAAAATTCAGCGGATTTTTCCACGTCTATTGACAGACGTTCAAAGACAACGAGTGCGGTTTTTCTTCATAACTTTCTATTGAGGTTTCTCGCGTGACACTAAACACTGGCCACTTGGCTCC